AGAGGACAGTTTATCTCTGTCGTGGCTCAGAGGATGTAACGGCTGCGATTCCTGAGCACTTGCTGTTTTCCCACTGAAACCTCCCCACGGCCCGTTTTGCAGAAGTGGAAAACCAAGGCTCAGAGGAGAGACAGACTCTGTCTGTGGTCAGGGAGTCATTGACCCCGAGCCTCCTGGAATGGCAGACCCAGAGGGCAGAAGTTGGGCATCAGACTTGGCATGCAATTCTGTGTGGTGGTTTCCCTTCTTGGGCCTCAGTTGCACTGTCAGTGAAATGGGTACACAGAGACTGGGGACACCCTGATGCAGTGGCACCCCAGCTCGGGTTCACAGCGCACCCCTGGAGAGCTTCATTCCCTGCAGGCTCAGGAGAGGCCAGACCCCCAGCTGTGACATCTTGGGCTGAGATGGCCTTGCCCTGTGCTGCACCTTGTCTCCCAGAGCACATTCCCTGCAAGTGATGCCCCACTGGGCTCCTCTCAGGGTCCCAGGCCCTGTCCGTGGCACCCATCCCTGATACACGTCTCTGCTCTGCAGGGGTCAGTGGGCAGACGGTCTTGGCAAATGGTCACTGGGGCTGGAGTCCAGGGCTGAGAGTGCCCGGGGGAGGTGAGTGCAGCCCAAGTCCCCCAGAGCCTCTGGGCGCGGTCCCCTGCACACTCCCAGCCTCCATTTCTGGGCAGCTCTGCAAGCCTCCCGGGCAGTGCCGGACCTCCAGGCCCTCTGCGCCCCCTTTTACCAGTCCTCGTGCTTTTGGTGTCCTTGCTCAGCACTTCACACGCAAGTTCCCCGAGCCTCCTGGTAGCTCCCTGAGAAAAGGTTATTCTTACCTCTTTTTTATTTTCGGAGAGGGGAACGGAAGTTCAGCATGATGGAGCTCCTCGCCCAGGCACCAGCTGGCAGGAGGCAGAAGTGGCATCGGAGCCTGCAGCTGTAGGGCTTCGAGTCGGAGGCTCTCGACCTCCCTCCTCACTGCGGGGATGGCGGGACACCTCCCTCGACGGAGTCCTGCGGGGTGGCGGGTGGAGGACAGGCCCAGGTGCCTGGGCTACACCCTCTGGCCCCTCTGGAAGTGGCTTTGGGTGCCCAGGAGGCTGACTCCTGTGTCCTGGGTCGCTGTTGCCAGGTTGCCCTACTTTTTGCTCCTGCATCTGTTTTCCAGGTCTTTGCTGTCTTCTGCTCATGTCTGACCTGCCTGCTTTGAGCTGTTCTCTGGTGGCAGCGACGGGCCTCTTGCTGGGGCCTGCCCTCGGCCTGGTGCCCCGGCCATGGGACCTTGGGCAGGTTGCTTCTCGCTGAGCTGCTGGGCTGAGGCATGCGGGCCCAGAGGTCAGGGGGCACCTGTTAGACAACACGTGGAAAAAGCTCTAGCATAGCGTGTGCCGAACACACATGCAAACACAAAACCCAGGAGCTTTGTTTCAAAATGCTGTTGCCAAATGAGTGACTGGTATTACGCAAAGCTGGAGCGTTGGTGACATTTTTCTTACTCTGTCTATCCCTTCTTCCAGGGTTTTTTTCCTGGCCTTTAGTATCCAGATCACATCTAACCCCGAAGAAGCTTGAAAGGACAGTAGTGACCCCCTATCCCTGGTTTCACTTTTTGTGATTTTGGTTACCTATGGTCAGCGTGGTCCAAAAATATGAAATGAAAAGTTCCAGAAATAAGCAGCTCCTAAGTTTGAGAGTGTGCACCATTCAGATGGTGTGATGAAATCTCTCACAGCCCCATTTGGGACGTGAGCCGTCCCTCTGCCCAGCGTCTCCACGCTGCGTACGCTCCCCGCCCGCCAGCAGCCCTCTCTGGTGTCAGAGACCAGTGCTGCGCTCTCACAGTGCTTGTGTTCGCGTAACCCTTACTGTACTAATGGCCCAAAGTGCAAAAGTAGTTTAAACTCTGCCCAGGTGTGATCGACTAGGAAAAGCACAGCATATACACCTTTTGGTACGGGGGGTGGTCTCGGCAGGTGTCGCCCAGGAGGAGGGGACTGCTGTGTACACAGTAATGTGCCCACTCTCCCTTTCCTTTCTGGGAAGATCTTTCCGAGATTCCCACCTTTTCTCCCCTTCTCTGCATCTCTGTCCTCACCTCCCCCATGAGCCTCTGTTTCCTCAAAGCTCAGTTCTCTCACTCCCCACTAAGTGTCGGGAAGAAAGGGGGGTTATGCTAATTCAAACTAAAGTGTGAGGGACAGTTCCCCAGGGGCATTGACACTGAGGTAGTGATAATAATCATCTGCGCGATTCTAGTCTCTGGTGGAAGAAGAGAATTTCAGGGAGCACCTGAAGAAGCTGAGGGACCCTCGGGGACTTCTGAGTGGCTTTGTGTCCTCCCGCCCTGCCCTCTGCCCACAGTAGCCCTGGAATTAGATTCCCCATCTCAGAGCCCGAATTCGGGGAAGCTGTGAGCCCCAAAATCGTTAGTAGCAAGTTTCTGGGGAGAGGGCCCCCAGCCAATTTCTGATGCTCAGAGGCCAGTGACGCCAGGAGGAGGCTCATCCTTGCTTTGTCAGGCCCTTCTAGAAGGCTCCCAGCACCTTCGAGGTCAGGGGACCCACCCCTCTTTGCAGGGGAGGAAACTGTGGCTTTGATGGGGGAAGTGACTCTCCCAAAGCCACATGGCCAGGAAATGCTAGGGCCTCTCAGGTGTTTCAACCCCAGGCCCAGGGCTTGGGTGTTTATTTTCCACTTGCTGTGGACGGCGGGGCACCCGGCAGACAGGGCCCTTAAGGGCGGATTGGTCCTCTGGTGGTTCGGGCTGAATCGGAAGTCCAGAAGGGAATGCTGTCTCCCCGCTTTGCTTCCTCCAGACCCTGTGCTGGTCCCCAAGCTGCTGGTAGCTCCCCAGTCATGTGGGACTTGGCACTGGCTGTCCCCTTTGCCAGGAACACTCTTCTTTCTCTTCTCTACTTGGCTGTTCGAAACCTCACCTGCTCACTGTTCTGAACCCAGCGTGAGGGCTGCCTCCTGCAGGAAGCCTTCCCTCACCTACGCAGTAGAACCCATCACCCCTCCCAGATTTGGTCCGTGGTGTGTGTGCTTGGACTTGGGGCGCTGAGACTGTGTCTCTTAGCTCCATAGCCCAATTCCTGGCACACAGTAGGTGCTCATTAAATGTTAGAATAAATGAATAACCAGTTATCATGGCAGAAACTGCTGAAATTCTTTCTAATGTTTCCTATGTACTGAGCACATTCTTAACTACTTGGGAGGGTCATCTAATGTTCATTATTAATCTTTGATGTTGATGCCCTTAGACCCATTTTACAGATGAGGCTCAGAGAAGTAAAGTCTGTTGCCCAAGCTCACACAGCTACATAGGAAGCTGGGTGGGATTTGAACCCAGGTCTGCCTGATTCCTTGAATGCTCAGAAACCTCAAGCCCCGACTTTGATTCTGGAGCGAAACGGGAGAGGAAACGAAGTCTCAGAAAGGGGCCAGGGCCAGGCAGAGGGGGGCTGGTGTGGGTGGGGTTGGCGTAGTGTCCGGCGTCCGAGTCTGTATCTCCTGCGTTGGCTTTTGTTGCAGAATCGAAGGGCCTTGTGGGTAAACTGGGGTGGAAGGCAGATCTGTCCCTGGAGGAGACCAGAGAAGAAGGGGCTGGGCTGGGTGGGCCCTGCTGTTCCAACCCCTGCCTGAAGAATTGCCGCTGAAGTCCGGTCATTGTTCATGCAGCGGAAGCTGCACGCGGTGGGGAGCACGGGGTCACAGTTATAGTTTATGTCCTAACTTATGCCCTCCCCCCATTCCCACGTCACCCCCAGCGCAGTTCCGGGACACCGTGTGAGCCTCCAGCCTGACCTCCCCATCTGCATTCCCTTGCCTGCAGGCCCTCTTTCCAGGGCGGCCCCTGTCCCCTGAGGATCTGCCTGGCAGCACCCCCACCTTCCCCTTTCCACCCCTCCCCGACCCCAACAGCCTCCTTTGAGGTTCTTGAATACCCCACACCTCTCCTCTCTTGGGGTCTTTGCACCCTGTTTCATCTTCCTGGAGCACCCTTCCCACACATCGTCACATGGCCGGCTCCTTCTCATCTAGGTCTTGGCTTGTGTGTCACCTCCTCCTGGATGCCCTCCCTGCCTGACCGCCCTCCTTCGTTCCCTACTTGATCCCTCCCACAGTGGCTGGTTCATTGCTTCGCAAGCCGTCACCACGACCCAGCCCTGGCTGGCTGCCATTTGCATCCCCTGCTAGGACATAAGCTCCTTGAGGCCAGAGGCCTGGCAGTCTCACCGGCTTTCCCGTCCCCAGTTCTGAACGCAGTGCTGGCACCTTTCCGTGTTTCATAAGCATTCATTGAATGAAGACTGAATGGATGGGGATTCTGGAAGCAGCCCAGACCAGGGTGTTCTGTACCTTCTCCTGAAAAGTGTCTCGTGCAGAGGCAGAGTGTGTTCATTCACAGCAGAACGAACTGGCCTGGACCCCAGCTTCGCTGCCTTCCTGCTGGGGGCCCGGGAGCAAGCTCCACAGAGAGCATTTCATAGCAGTGAGTCTGTGCCAGGCCCTGCTCATTCAACCCAGGGACATCCATAGACATGTACTGCACACCCACTAAGTGCCAGATGCCGTGCGAGGCCCTGGGAGACAGCCATGCACCAAACAGGCCAAAAGCCTGTCGGGAAGGATGTGCGGCTGGACTCGGGCGTTTCAGCGCATTATTGATTGCCACATTTTGTCTAGTCCACGTTTCAATTGTCAGTTTAAAAATAATTCCTTCCTCCACTGATCAGATGAGGAAACTGAGGCATTGAGTGGTTGAGGAAGTGGTGAGAAGATATTTGAACCCAGGCTCTCAGGGTCCCCACAGGGTGACGATAGCATTTACCCGTAGGGTGGTTGGAGGACCTGATGAGACTACATAGGTGAAGTGCCCAGCCCGGTGAATGGGTGCTTCGCCATGACTGTCACCATCCTCGCATTTGCTGTCATCTGGGTCTGTATGGCAAAGGGCCAGCAGCTAGCAGGCCTCCCTGACCACCCCGTCCCTCTCTCCCCAGATGTGAGCCCGGTGGGCCTCCCGCTGACCTGTTGCTAAAGCAGGCCCCCCACCCCAGGCCCAGCATGCGCCTGTCGGTGCGGAGGGTACTGCTGGTAGCCGGCTGTGCCCTGGCCCTGGTCCTGGTGGTCCAGCTGGGGCAGCAGATGCTGGAGTGCCGGGCGGTGCTGGCAGGCCTGCAGAGCCCCCGGCGCACCATGCGGCCGGAGCAGGAGGACCTGGTGATGATGGGCCTGGACCACGAGGAGTACCGCTACGGCAAGGCCATGCCGCTCATCTTCGTGGGCGGCGTGCCCCGCAGCGGCACCACGCTGATGCGCGCCATGCTGGACGCCCACCCCGAGGTGCGCTGCGGCGAGGAGACCCGCATCATCCCCCGCGTGCTGGCCATGCGCCAGGCCTGGTCCAAGTCCAGCAAGGAGAAGCAGCGGCTGGATGAGGCGGGCGTGACGGACGAGGTGCTGGACGCCGCCATGCAGGCCTTCATCCTGGAGGTGATTGCCAAGCACGGCGAGCCGGCCCGAGTCCTCTGCAACAAGGACCCCTTCACACTCAAGTCCTCCGTCTACCTGTCGCGCCTGTTCCCCAATTCCAAGTTCCTGCTGATGGTGCGGGACGGCCGGGCCTCGGTGCACTCCATGATCACTCGGAAGGTCACCATTGCGGGCTTCGACCTCAGCAGCTACCGCGACTGCCTCACCAAGTGGAACAAGGCCATCGAGGTGATGTATGCCCAGTGCATGGAGGTGGGCAGGGACAAGTGCCTGCCGGTCTACTACGAGCAGCTGGTGCTGCACCCGCGGCGCTCCCTCAAGCTCATCCTCGACTTCCTTGGCATCGCCTGGAGCGATGCCGTCCTGCACCATGAGGACCTCATTGGCAAGCCTGGTGGCGTCTCCTTGTCCAGGTGAGTGGACCCCCTGACGGTCCTCCCAGATCCCTGGTCCTGGGGTGGGAGGCACTTGGTGGGAAGATGGGCTCCTTGTCGCTGAGCTGTGTGGTGTTGGGCAAGTCCCTGTACCTCTCTGAGGCTCAGCTTCATTGTCCAAAAAAATGGGCAGTCACTCGTCTCTTTTCTGACAGAATCAGCAAGCCTGAATAGGCTTTGCAGGGAGGCTTTAGTGAGCACAGGTTAAGAACACAGATTCTGGAACCAGGCTGTCTGGGTTGGAGTCCCAGCTCTGCCACATCCTCGCTGTGTGACTGGAACGTGTGACTCGACCTCTCTGTGCCTCCATTTCCTCATCTGTAACACGGGGCTCTAATCTGTCTACCTTACAGATACTAGACACCTGAGAGTACCAAATAGGGTAACACATTCCGGGGCTACTGTTGCTATCCTTGTTAGTGTTGATACTGTTTTATTGGGATACTCACCATCCTCACCATCACTGCCATGTAATCAGCGCCTGCTGTGTAGCAGGCACCGAGTTAATCCCCCAACAAACACTGTTCCTTTAATGCCCACAGCAACCTGAAGACGTAGGAGCTTGCTTATCCCCTCTTTACAGATGAAGAGACTGAATCTCCAAGAGGAGAAGCTACTGGCCTAAGGCCACACAGCCAGCCACACGTGGTGCTGGGGTCTGGGCCCAGGTCTGTCGGACTCCGGGGTGTGTGCGCTCAGCCTCCTCCTCCCTCCTTTTGCCCCGCGCTGTCTGCCTTCCTCCTCTGGGAGGCTGACCTTCTGCTGAGACCCAGAGCACTGGAACAGGGCAGGATGACAGGCAGCTCCCTGTCTCCATCCTGATCAGGCCGGGGCACCCTGGAGAACCCAGTGAAAGGGTTCTCCAGGCTTCTTTTGCAGCAGGTCCTGCCAGACTCCATCCCCAAGAGCCCCTGAGCCCAGAGGGGCGCTTCACCCTGGTGAGAAGGTGCTGTAACTGGGATTTTGTAAATTCTCCTGACAAAACACCAGATTACCAGAGAAACACATCTTTATTGTAGGGGAATAGAAGAAATATACAAAACAAGAAGCAAAACCCGTCATCCCACCACCCAGATTTTGATATACGGCCTGCTGGTCCTTGGTCAGGGGCTACTGACTAAGGAGCCCTAACGACCGTGTCCCTCTGTGGCCCGTGATCACTCAGTATGTGGGGCCACGCCCCCTCGTTTTGGATGGCCGTGCAATACTCCATTGTGTGCGTCACCCTGTTCTGTTACCACTTCCCATACATGGGTTATTTCTAGTTTCATTGCTTCGTATCAAGCTTTGCTCCCATTCATGTTCTTCGATGCATCTGTGTTATTTCCATCCTGGAGCTGCAAGGGTCGTGGTAGAGCCTGTGCATGTATTTGAGAGTTTTGGCACATTAGCTGGAGTTGAGATTTAAATCCAGGTCTGCAGACTCCAAATCCATGGTCTTCCCACCTGTCCACACCCTTTTTCCCTCCCCAGTCCTCACTCCCAGTCCTGTCCTCCTTTTTCTTTCTGTTCTTTTCCCCAAGTCATCTCTTAGTGGGGATGGAAGCACCTAGAAAAAGCTTGTGCATCCTGGGAGGCCCCTGGAGCGTACCCAGTTGGATCACCATGAGTCAGATGGCTGGGTAAGCCAGGTCCAGGGCCCAGGAAGGAAGCACGCGGAAAGTGATGGTGGTCCGTTGTTACAGCACAAAGCTGCAAACCACCTTGATGTCCGGGAATGGACAAAGCAGCTGTGCAAGGATGCTACACAGCTGGGAAGAAGAACGCGATGAAGAGAAAAAAAGAGTTACCAATATGTATAGCGTATAGTTTCTGTTTCAGAAACTACAGACAACATTATAGATATTTTGGTGGGGGTGGGGGAGAGGAGAGAGAGAAAGCTAACACCAATGTACCATACACTCTTCTATTATTAACTTATTTACCCCCTATAACAGCCCGACCAATAATGTGGGTGCTGTCATTATTCCCATTCACGGAGGTGGAAACTGAGGCTCAGAGAGGAGTAGTGACTCTCCCAAGACCACACAGCTGGTGTTGGTACAGCTGGCATTTGATCCCAGACATTCTGGGTCCTGAGTCAGCTCTTAGCTGCTCTACCATTTGAAGCACAGAGAAGGAATTGGAAGGATGTGCTCCAGAATGCCGAGACTGGGTCTCTATAGGGAGCCAACGGACTGGGAGTGGTGACCACGGGGACTCTTAGCCTCACCATTAGTGTTTGATAATTATTTCTCATGAACAAAATATCCATCTCAGTCACATACGTAAAAGGTTATTTGTAAAAGGTCAGAGACATCAAGAAGGCAGGACTTAAGTACCACCAGTGTTCGCTGCCTAGTACCGTCCTCTGACTTCCCATCACATGCTGTTACCCACACTGCACAGAGGAGGTGGGATGAGGCCAGGAGACTCGTCCACAGTCTTAGTTGGTGGAGGCAGAGCTGGCTGGGGGCCCAGTCCACCAGTCTTTGCTGCTGCCCCAGAGTGATGGAGCAGGGAGCCTGTCCGGGTGCCTTCCAGCCTGTCCTCTCTCTCCAGGATCGAGCGATCCACGGACCAGGTCATCAAGCCTGTGAACCTGGAAGCGCTCTCCAAGTGGACTGGTCACATCCCTGGGGATGTGGTGAGGGACATGGCCCAGATTGCCCCCATGCTGGCTCGGCTGGGATATGACCCCTATGCGAACCCTCCCAACTACGGCAACCCGGACCCCATCGTGGTCAACAACACGCACCGGGTGAGTGCGCGTGCACGCAGGGAGGCGTGCTCTTGGGCTGCGGCAGGGGCGCGAGCCCCAGCGATCCGAAAAAAACACAGTCTCTTGATTCCTGAGCAGTGGCCATGGTGAATCGTATGGCTGTTTGTATTTCCCTTTTTGCTTGGGCCACAAGGAAGCTCATAGCTGACTATCTCTCACACTCTTCAAATCTAACTCACAGGCCTATCTGTGCGCTGATGTTGCTTTATTTCTCTACACTTTTTTACTTTTTTCTACTTATTTCTCTGGCTGGTTTTTTTTTTTTTTTTGTCTGTTTATTAAAGCACTTCAAGGCTTTGTTGACGCTGGGCATAAATAAACTCTTGGTCTCTTTATTGCCCTATACGGTTTTTAACATTGATTTCTCAGACAATATGAGCAACGGACAGCTTGAGTTACTTTTTAAATCCCCCTTAGTTAAGGTGGTCAAGGAAAAGAACTTCAAAGACATGTTTTGAAAACATTTAAAAAAGCAGGCTAATTCTGGATCAACGAAAGTTCACAAGTCTGTGCTCGTATTTACATGTTGCTGTCACAGCTTCTACTTCTCTTTGGCTGCTGTGTTCTGACTTCCTTATAGGCACTGAGTTAGAGGAAATATTTGAAGATGGGACCCGGGCCGGAGGAAGGGCCCTGCCAGCCCCCCAGAGTCTTCACAGAAGCTGCACTCACTCAGCCTTTTAAACACACGCCGTCCCAGTTCTGGGGTTGAATCATGAAGGGAGAAAGTCGTTCCTGTCTTAGGCCTCCTCGAATCCTTCCATGGACTCAAGGGGAAAGATCCCTTTTGGTGCTGATGAGTCTGTAACACCTCCCCGTCACAGAGGGGGTTTACCAACACCCGGTGATGGGGGCAGCACGGGCCAGTCTTTGGGTCTCCACTTCCTCTTTCCCACGACATCAGAGCATTTTGCAAACATCTGTTTGTGGAGATTCTCAGAGACCCAATGTAGACAGACAACCAGACCACAGTGACGGTGTGGTTGTTTGCAACCTGGATGTATTTTATTTTATCATTTTTATTATCGATATTTATTGTTATGGGCTTATTTTTTAACAAATAGTTATTATGCTTTAAACTGTACTTGGTGTTTTATATACTTTTCTGTATGCAGAGGCTGTGTTTCACAGTAAAAAAATTAACTTGATTAGAAAGGAGAAGAAATCTTCGTGAAATGACGTTGACGTCCAGCCCCCTGGGTGCTTCTCAGAAGCTGCGGTGGGGGCAGGGGTGCAGGACAGGGCCCCCTTTACCGCACCTTCCCAGCCTGAGGCCCTGCAGTGGCTCCTCTGAGTTCTCTTTACAAGGTGGAGGCCCCTGTCTTTCCTGAGGGCGGGGTCAGAAGCTCCTGGAACAAGGCCTGACCTTGGGTGCTGCATAAAAAATTCCAACATGCACCGATGATTAGGATCGGTCTGTGTTGTGTGTTTAAAATGGAAATGTCTCCAGTTTTCTTCGAAGAGCTCTCCTGCCCGGGGGTCCCACCGTCTCAGCGAGTGCTACACAGTCAGTCATTCAGTCTTTGCAGGGGTTGGATGTTACTACAACGTTAAGTTCCCCTGTTGAAAGCCTTGTGTGTGCACACATGTGCCCTCCGTGTTCCTGTAATGGATCCTGGGGTGCAGTACACTGCATGACTGAGAGGACCCCAGTGTCAGTGAAGTCGTCTGTGCCTGTGTCGCCCACTCCAGCCACTAGCTCCTGACCTGGCACGGCCATCGAAGTGCGACTGGCCCCAATGTAGAGCTGCTGTGAATGTCAAGTACACACTGGGTTTTGCAGTTCTGGTCCAAAAAAAAAAAGTGCAGTTTCTCATTGGTCATTTTTACATGGATTACATGTTACGTTGACATTTTAGATCTATCAGGTTAAGTAAAAGATATAACTAGAATTAATGTGAGCTGATTCACTTTTTTAAATTTTTTAAAAAATGTGGCTACTGAATTTTAAATTACGCAGTTGGCTCCCATTCTATTCTGGACAGCGCTGGCCTGGACTGTGCCTTTGTATCGCGGGACAGCAGAAGGCCTGGAATTCCGTTGCCCACCTCAGGGCCTTTGCCCTGGCAGTGTCCTCTGCCTGGCGTGCTTTTCCTTCAGCGCAGCCTGGCTGGTTTTCTTTGTCGCTGAGGTCTCAGCTCCCAGAGGCCCTTCTTGACCACCGCTAGAGAGAGGCCGCCCTTTCACTCCTGATCACATCCTCATTTTACTCTCTTTGTAGCACTTCCAGTGTTTTGATATGTTCTTCTTTATTTGTGTTATTGTTACTTGTGCATTGCCTGGCTACCCCTGAAAAGCGGAAGCTCCAGGAATCCAAGAAGTTTAGTTGTCTGGCTAGTGTTGTACCCGCTGAGCTTAGAATAATGCTTGGAATAAGAGGAGCTCAATAAATATTTGTTAGTTGGTGGGAGGAGGGAAGGAAGGAAGGGAGGGAGGGTGGATGGATGGGTGGGTGGGTGGATGTGTACATAAGTGGATGGGTGGCTGGGTGGGAGGGTGGGAGAGTGGATGGGCGTGGAGGTAATGGACTGAATTTTATTTTTTGACCATTTCCATGAGAATGATATTTTTTTCTTTTTCTTAGGTCTTGAAAGGAGACTACAAAACACCAGCCAGTCTGAAAGGCTATTTCCAGGTTAGAATCCCTGAGGGGAATTCTGGATGCTGTTCCCCCGGCTGTGCCACCCGCTGTGCGACTCCGTGCACTTGGCTTATCTCCCGTGGGTGGCAGCTTCCCCACCAGAAACCCGGGTGGGGTGGGTGCGTCCGGCCAGAGGCTGTCTAGCGTCTGACCAGCTGGGGCAGGTCTCAGCTGCCCACTGCCCGGGCCTCTCCCTTCACCTGGTCTCCCGGCAGTTGAAGGGACTTGGTGGCCCCTTTCTGCCTTCAGCCATTCATTCCATTTTATTTAAGGCAGCAGTTCCCAAACATGACCCAGCGCGAAATTTTCAACGGCCTACCAAGGAAGGGGAACGGTGAGGGTCAGGCGGTGCGAGCATCTGTGCGACGTAGACGCGCAGCCGCTCCTGCACCCCACGCACATCCCCTCGGCTCTGCGGCGCATGCGTCCAGGATGCTCCCTGTCCCTGGGAGGTGGGGGCCATGGGCAGCGTCAGGAGCTGCCCCTGGACCGCCGTCACAGCAGTCCTCCTCCCTTGTAAGGGAGGTGGCGGTGCCAGCGTCAGTCCTTCCCGTGTGTGTGTGTGTGTGTGTGTGTGTGTGTGTTTTTTACTTAATTTGGCAAATAAAGGGCGGGCCGCCCTGTGCCAGTCCCTTGTTTAATTACCAAAGTCAAGGAGTCCGACTGCCCGGGGACTCGGCTTTTGTGCACACCTCCCTTCTTTGGGGAGGCGCCCACACTGCCGTTGAGGGTATCGAAGACCCATCGCTTGCCACTGTGAAATCATGTTGCCAGAATTAGTGAGCTCTCATGTCTTGCCTGTTTTAACCAAAGCGATGCTGTAGAAAGACACAAAGGGAGGGCTGAGAGGAATGAGCTGCAATCACAAACTGCGTTTTTGCCGGTCACCTTCCTTTGCCCGCCCAAACAGGTACTTTGCATTCACGGTGATTCCAGTGTATGAGCTGCTTTGTTAGTCAAATAGTGGGTTTCACACTTGCCATCTTGGATGGCTACACAGTCCCCTCTGGGGGCGTTCTTTTTACATGGCACCAGTTAACTTAGCTGTTGCCCTGAGGCCATATACAATTTCTCCCGAATGATGTCATGTGCACAGCACCCTAGCTGTGCCTCTCTTCTGTTTGGCAAGGGGTTTGGGGTGGGGCTCTATCGACTCATTGCCTTAGAATACATTTTTAAGGAGTAGAATCAGTGGGTGGAAAGGTCCGGATAGTTTTGTGATGAACTAGGAGACTAGAGTTGTTTCACAAAAGAGTCGGACCACTTTCTAGCCCCCTGCAGTATAGGGTGTGTTGGGGACCTTCAGCTTGTCCTGGGCTGTTTTTTGCTCTGTAAGGAATGAAATGTGAAGGAATGGCGTGTGCTCAGCGCCCTTCACCAGGAGAGCCACCCTGCACGTCGCTCTCTGCCCTCCTCCCCTCCCAGACCCTCCCCTGTACATGCCACTTCCTTCAGGGTATTGTAAAAACCGGAAGTGACCGTAGGGTGACAGTTAAGTAAATGGTGGCACGTGGCATTCTATAGCACCACAGGTAGCCGTCCAAAGTGGCCACTGTGAAACCGAAAAAAAATGGAAAAATACCACCCAGGAAGACAAAGCGGCTCACACACTAGAATTGCAACTAATGCAAAAGCGTATCCTGCTCCCTCAGCTCTAAGCCCCTCCCCTTCCAGGCCTTTGCTGTTCCCTCTGCCGGGGATGCTTTTCCACCCCAATCTCTGCTTGGCTGGACTCATTTTCATCTTTTAGATCTTGGCTTGTGGGGTGTTTTCAAACAGTAACAACCAGTTCTCCAGACACCACCTGGGTGTTCAGTTAGTGCGATTCTGGCCCCGGCTCCCGGAGACAGCTTCAGATCCTGCAGTCTGAGGGCCCCATCCGGTGAGGCTGCCCCCACTTCAGGTGCCAGCTGCAGTGGGGTATGCAGGGTACCCCCATTTCTGCTTAGACAGCTACACATTTGGGGGTTTCCTGCACCCCTTACTCCTCAGGTTTGATAATTCTCTGGAACAACTCACAGGAGTCGGGAAAATACTGTGCTTCCTAGATTATGGGTTTATTATAAAGAATACAGTTTAGGAACAGCCAGCCAGACGAGAGGCACAGGGCAAGGCACTGGGGAAGGGGCGGAGCATCCACGCCTGTCCCAGGTGCACCAGCCCGCCTGCACCTGCGTGTGCTCACCTATCCGGAAGCTCTGAACCCATCTTTGAGGGACTTCCATGGAGGCTTCACGAAGTAGACGTGGTTGATTCAGCCACTGACCATTGGTTAGTAACTCCATCTCCAGCCCCTCTCCCCTCCCCAGAGGCTGGGGAGTATGGGGCTGAAATTCCCAACCCTTCAATCGCCTGTTGGTCTCTGTGGAGACCAGCCCCCCCCACCGCCCCAACACTTCCCTGGGTCCCCCAGCCATAGCCATCTCATTAGCACACAGAAGATGCTTGGAGATTCCAGGGGTTTTAGGAGCCACGTGCCCAAAACCTGGACCAAGACCGGAGGTTTTCCTCGCACTGCAGCCTAAAGGGTGTCCCCTGAGTGGCCTGCCCTGGGCACCTTGTGCATTGGCCCCAGCGGTGGTCCCTGCTGTCGGCCCATTGTGCTGCCTGGGGCTGACATCATCTTCCCTGTGCGTGTGCTTGATGGTCTCTCTCCCCCTTGGAATGTGAGCTACATGAGCACAGGATTGGGTCTGTCAGGTTCACGTACCCCAGCACCTGGCACGTAGTAGATGTGCAGTAAAATATTCAATGGGTGAGTGTGTGTATGCCTGACTGTGATGCTGAGGGGTGAACCGCGGGGCAGTGAGACCCTGGCACCTTGACCTGGTCTTGACCCCTTCCTCTGTGTGTCATCTTCTTCCAGGTGAACCAGAACAGCACCTCCTCCCCCTTGGGAAGCTCATGATTTCCAGGTAGGCCCTCCTTCCCACCACTTCTGAGCCCAGGGGCCACTTTTCTGAAAAGCTTGTCCTTCCAGAGCCTCCCTGGGGAGGAGTTGCCCCCAAGGTGGCCTGACCCAGCCCTTGGGAGGTTTCCATGGTGACAGACTGGGGAGCTATTCATAGAATCAAGGCTTGGTCTGCCAGCCTTGGATGGGGTCAGGGGCAGGGATCAATGCTGAGCCAAGGAGAAAATGGTTTGTCTGGCATTGGGCGGGGGGCACCGAAGACCAGCGGGATGGGGGATTCTAGAACCGCTTTTTGCACAGAATGCTAGTCCAGCTTCTATAAACAGCTACAGGTTTGGCCCAAAGCAATTAATGTTTCAATAATAGCCACAGCAGTTCTGGTCTAAGAATAACCCCTGCAGCACTGGGCCAAGCGCTCCCCTCCCCGCGTGTCCCTTTAACCCTCAGCCTCCCTGGGAGGTGGGCGGTGCCACCGTCCCATTTCACGGAGCAGGAAGCCTGAGCCCAGGAAGGGCTTTGACTTGCCCGAGGCAGCCAGTCAGCATATGGCAGAGTTATCCCCCAGAGCCCTCTCCCCCAGAGTTTGCTTTTAATGATCGATTTTTAAGTGCATATTTATCCATCTGTGTTTTGCTAAGGGGTAGTGGAATGGGTTCTGAACTTGGCTTTGAACTGAAGTCAAAGATTTAAGAACTCCCTTCAGGTTTGACTCAACGCAGCCTCCATTTTCCACCCCAAGGGTGGTCGTGGGACAAAGTGAGCCGACTAGGGGAGAGCTGGGCCCCGGCTGTGGAGTCTGGTGACTGAGCTCACTTCCCCATGCACCCCAGCCTCCCCGATCAGGTTCACGGACACTGATATGCACAGGTATTTCCCCGTGTCTTTTAAATGGCTTCTAGCCCAGACTCTAGATTTAGTCTCATTTTTTTTTAAAGATTTTATTTATTTATCTTTAGAGGAGAAGGAGAGAAACATCAATGTATAGTTGCCTTTCATGCATCCCCTGCTGGGAACTGGCCTGCAGGGAACCAGCCTGCAACCCAGGCATGTGCCCTGACTGGGAATTGAACTGCGATTCTCTGGTTCACAGACCTGTGCTTAATCCACTGAGCTACACCAGCCAGGGCAGTCTCCTTATTTTTAAATAATCATCTTAAAAACAAAATCCACTTTGCACCAGCCTGCAGGGCTGGGGACAGTCAGTCCCTATCACTTACTACGGTTCCCATTTTAGGAAAGAGTACATTTGTTTTAGAAATTGATTTTTCAAGAGGAAATGGGGAGAGAGAAACATCGATTTGTTGTTCCACTTATTTATTCATTCACTGGTTGATTTTTATATATACCCTGCTTGGGGATTGAACCTGCAGCCATGGCATATCGGGGCAACTCTGTAACCAACTGACCAACCCAGCTGGGGCCACCAGAGTTCCCATCTTAAATTGCGCTAAAATCCTAGAGTTCTAGCTTATTCCAGAGAAAAGAACCCTTCCATGGAAAACAGGTTTTCTCCATGTTTCTCTCTTCCTCTCATTTCCCTTGCTCTGTTTCTACCAGTTTATTAGTAGAATTCTGAATGTTCTCCGTACCAAAAGCCAAATACCTGTTGCTTTACTGTTACAACAAGATTCCGTGTACGGGGTGCATTAGTTAATTCCTGGAGTTGTAAGCAAACACAGGTCCTGCCAGCAGCTGCAATGAAAGCCAAACTCGTGACACAGGTGCTCACGAGAAGGAAAGTGGTTTCTTCAAGTGCCCGCCACCTGAGAAGATGGGAGACTCTTGTCCCAAAGCCCATCTTAACATCTCAGTGCAGGCAGGGGGGGTTATCAGGAAGGCGAGGGGAAGCAGGACCAAAGAATCGGGGGGAGGGGGCTGTGGTCCTGCAGGCAGCGTTCTTGCTGGTCCCGGTACACACCTCTACGGTCAGCGTCCTTGAGATGCCATCTGACTTCCTAGCAGCTGAACTCCTGAGGTCCCGGGGTCAGGCTGCTTCCTAGGTTCACACAGCAATGGAACCTGCTGAATGGTAAAGTACAGTAAAAATAAACAAACAAACAAAAAACCTTTAACGTATAGGCTGTAGCTTTGAGAGAAAAATCAGGTTTGAGTAACAAGCTGGGTTTACCATTTACTAAGAGCAACATGGGTAGCTTTACATGGATTCTTTTGTAAGCTTACTTTGTTAGTTCTCCTTTTCGTTCTACTCTTTGGCTAGTCAGGCCAGTATAAGTAGTGTAGCACATTCATTCCCCGTGACAGTAAGGCATTGGCCTTGAAATGCCGACCCTTCCCTTGCCTCCGGACATTCATTGGCCTTTACCACGCCATCCTTGCCATCGGCTCTCTGTGAATAAGAAGAGCGTATCTGTGAGGCCAGGTGAGTGCAGGTGGAGATGGGAGGAAACGGCCAAGAAACAGAATTTAAATCCTCATCTGGGGTGCACAGAGATGCCCCCACATCTCGTGTGACTGTGCGAAGCCCATACATTCTGTAGTCACACATGCAGATGTGAAAGGTCTATTTCAGAATCGTTACTCGGGCCTAACAGGCTTTTCTCCCCGACTTTCAGATCTCTGCAAGCGGCTCTGTTGCCAGGAAGGGCAGAGACTTTGCGCCGGAGTGGAAATCGGCCCTCGAATCCAAGCATATTGCTTGCTGTCACGGGACTGCCCACAAGGAATGTATCTGTTTCTGTTTGAAAGCCTGACCCATTGAGAACTCTTCCCGAAGCGCTCTATCTTCGGATCCTCTGGGATAGAAAACAAAGAGTGTGGAAGTAGTCAGGCCTTTGAAACTTAAGTATTTTATATTTTTCCCCTCGAGAACTTTTTTTTAAAGAAAGGAATTTGCCACCCTCCCTTCGCTGGACCACTGGTGGCTTTGTTTGCTGGGACAAGGCCCACAACCTGTGCCTCTCCTGTTGACTCTTATTTTTGAATTGAATTCAAAGAATCTATTTAAGAATTTAATATATGAGGCTTTCTCTGATTCCTCCTCAGTTCTCAATTTCACAAAGAACAAAAATATATTATTGACTAAAGTGGAGAGGGACTCATCTGTGTGTGCCCTTCTTTACAGAGCAAACAGGTCCTGTGTCTGCATCTTGAATTTTGGTGGGTGGACGGATGGCAGGCGAAGGCTGGAGGACAGGTGCACGCCAGGCACGGCTCCAGCCTGGGTTGGGGGGTCCCCAAGGGGACGCTCAGGTTCAGTGATTTGCCCAAAGGGCTCACAGAACTCAGAAAAGCCATTAGATTCTCGCTTATGGTCTATTGCAGCGAAAGGATACAAGTGGAATCAGCAAAGACATGTGGGGCAGAGCCCAGGAGCCCAGGTGTGAGCTTCCAGAGTCTTGTGGACGTGCTTCATTGTCCTGGCAGCGCTGTGTGACCACGTGTTCAGTGTTGCCACCCAGAGGAGCTCACCTGGGCCTTGGCGTTTGGTACGTTATATTAGGCAGCGGTCACGCAGGCGTAGGACAACCACATGACTAACCTCAGTTACTCAGTCCCCAGCCCTTGCAGGGGTCGAAGGATAGAGCACCACCCAAGGTCCCCATTGCAAGTCACCTTGCCAGCATAGACTGACCTGGTGTGGTTTAGGGTCCCAGGTATTCCGAGAGGCTCTTACTGGACAGAATATTCCGGGGGCTTAGAGGAGATCGCCCAGGGTTGGTCAGGGGCCTGTCTGTCCTTGGGCCTGTGCAGGCCTTGAACTCTCTAAGCCTGCTGCATTAACCCTTTACTGCTCAGCTTCCCAAGGCTTGGAGAGCAACGGGGCTCGGGACAGTTCTTCATCTTTTTTTTTTTTTAATTTTCACTTGTCAATTTTAGAGGAAGGGACAGAGAGAGAGAGAGAAACACTGACCTGTTTCTACACCGATCGATGCACTCATTGGTGGACTCTTGCATGTGCCCTGACCAGGGATCAAACCTATAGCCTTGGCGCATCGAGATGATGCTCCAGCCACCGGAGCCACTGGTCCAGGGCCAGTTTGCGTCTTTAAAGATGGTGATAGTGAAGCTTTGGGAAGGAAATGACTCAGTGGTTTGCGGCATGGATTTTGGAGTTGGGCCAGTTTATCAGAGGAGTGACTCGAGCCTTTGTCTCTTCATTTATAAAACAGGGAAGTGAAACTTCCCGGGCTTATTGTGGGGGGCTGATGGGTGACGTGAGCAGGGGTGCTTGGGACGTGGTGCAGAACCACTCATCTCTCCTTGTCTTGGGGAAGTGCATTGGGCTGGGCAGTTGATGGTTATGAACATGGGAAGCTCGTGGTTAACACTCACTGGGAAGCAGAAGACCATCCAGCCCCATTCACTGTTCCACTTGTTTTTTTTTTTTTTTGCTGCAAAACCAACCAGCCCCAACACGCAGTGACCTAACACAATTTATTGCAAAATCTCAGCTCTGGGAGTTAACTGGAGGGAGGAGGTTGGTCCTCACAGCCAGGGGGCGGCTGGGACGCATGTCAACAGGAGGCTTCTTCACCAGCATGTCTGGCCGAGGGCTGGGGTGGTCGGAGCATCAGAGGCTTTTTGCTGGGCATCTTTATCATGTGGCCTCTTCACACGTCTGGCTTGGGTTTCCTCGTGGCGTGGCGGCCCCAGGACCGTCAGACTTCTGTTATGGCAGCTGGTTGCTCCCCAGAGCAAGTGCTGTAAGAGGCCAGAGGCAGCACAACCGCTGGCGAGTTCGGGGGTGTGCCTGGAACTGGCCCAGTGCCACTTGCCCTTCCTTTGTCACAGCTGTCACAGGCCTCTCCCACATTTGAGAGCGCAGAGAAACGGACTCCTCTTGATGCTGACGTGGTGAGGTCACAAAGCAGAAGAGCTTGAGGGGTGACAGGGAGGTGGCCATCTCTGGAAAACAGAATCAGCCACAGTCATAAAAACACGATCCACCTTACCTGCAGGTCATCAAATAACCGATGAATTCATCAAGTCTTCCCTTTTTGCAGTTAAATGTATGGCTTTACCACTTGTTCCCTTTGTGCAATTAGGGTACAAAATAAAGACCTGTCTTTGAAATTATAGTGATTCCAGGTTCCCCAAAACCTAGGTCACCCAAAACCCCAGCCTCGCCTTGGGACCAGGGATGGTTCTTGCTACTGAGGGAGCTCCTCTGGGTGTCCCCAAGCCCCAAATACGGGCCTAGAACCAGGAGGACATCTCCTACCCTCTGCCCTCCTTCTCTGTTCTAAGCAAACGCTTCAGGATAATTAGCAACAAGAATGCCATTCCTTCGGGTGAAAGCTGTGGCTCCCCTCCACTGGGCATGCCCTTGACCAAGTGGCCCTACTCCAACTGAAGTCCTTCCGCAAGTCTGGATTATTCTCATCAAACTTTGTTTCTATAAGCAACAGCTGTTTTTTTTAATGGGTTGTTGGTGAATTTTTTATTCTGAGCCAACTAGATTGGTATGAAGTTGCAAAAGTAGCACAGAGTCCTCGCAGCTTTCCTGGTGCTGACACACAACTGATCAATAGCAAACCCAGGAAATTAGGGAGAGCACGGACCTTATTTGGTTTTCTCCATTTTCAGCGTGTATTGATTTGGGTGTATATGCAAGATTTTGTTTTCTTTTAATAGCAGAATCTTCCATATACCACCCCTTACACACACACACACACACACACACACACAGAGTCATGAGCGAAAGCTCAGTCTACAAAACATAACGAGGGTTGTTCTGATGAGGACCCCACACCCGTCCCAAGCTCCAGCCCCTTCTTTCTGAAGCACTTTGTCATGGTTGGGGTTTTGCATGTGTTTGCCTGGCGATCTGATTCAGGTTGTTCTTACTGAACTGCCAACTGAACGAGTGGGAACCGTCGTTTTTAATTGCTCGCCATTTACCCCACATCATTCCTGGCCTATGGAGGGTTGTGGGAGGCAGCTTCCAAGGTGCCCCTGGGGGTCCTCGCCTCCCGGTATTCATGCCCTTTGCACACTGAAAAAGGACGGGGTTCCAGAGTAACAGAAGATGGGTGGTTAGACTTGAATTTCAGATCAAACAATGAATGGCCTTTTCAGTCTTTTACAATACTGCATGGGGCATACACTAAGATTTTATTCATTATTTGTCTGAAATTCCAGTGGAACCTTCCTTTATTTTCATATGCTAAGTCTGGCGACCCTAAATAGGGCCGACCATGCAACCAGCTGGATACTAGGGAAATGGCGGCGTGTGACTTCCAAGGTGAGTTCATTAAAAACAAAAATAAAAAACTGTGACTTTGGCCTTGTTATCGCTTGATTCAAATCCCTCTCTGGGAGCTCAGTCACTATGTCACAAGGACACTCAGTGCCCCAGGTAGAGACTCACGTGGCAAAGACCTCAGGCCTGCCAGAGCACCAGCCTGCCAGCCCCGGGAGTGAGTCACCTTCGAAGGGGCTCCTCCAGCTCCAAGCAAGCTTGGCCGGGGCTGCAGTCCCAGGTGCTGTCCTGACCGCATCCCCAACAGAGACCCTAAGTTAGACCAAGCCCGCCGAGCCACTCTTGAATTCCTCCACCCAGAGAAATAGATGCTTACTGTTGTTTCCAGTGACTCTGCTCGAAGGTAATTGTTAACAGTGCAATGGGTGATACATAGGAGCTTATTAAATATTTATTAGTGAGTGACCGACTGAATGAATGAAGGCTGTGGCTCCTTGTCTCACCTGTGTGCTACTGAGGACACTTGCTTCACAGGAAATGCCTCAAGCCTGCAGAACATCATGTCCCTGCTTTACAGAGGGATAGAGTGTTTACAAGTTCTTGAAAGGATAGAAAACCATCTGTAAGATACATTTACAGGGAAGGCAAATTTGCTAATCTAGCTGATCTCAATCTTCAGGACACAATATATATTTTTATGACAAGATTCAAAATAAGAATAAGCCATGTGCAACTGTATAATGTCACTGTCCTAGAAAAGGTACTTGTGCTAGACGTTAAATATATCAGCTTTGAAATGCCACTTGTGAGTTGTTTCTATGGTATCAATCTATTTCAAGTTGTAACTGAGCAAGGATTTTTTGCCCAAAAGTCTCTTGAAGGCAACACGGGAACAGGGCAGGATGGTGCAGGCTGCCTACAGGGGTGGTTAAGTGTGGACTCAGGTGGCTACAGAGACTGCCCCTGGAGGTGGAGGAATTGAAGAGATGACGCATGCAAAGGGTTCGTCTTTGGAGCCTGAACAGACAGGAATCACTTGAAATATTAGCTCAAATAAGCAGACAGAAATCGTACAGGGGCCCCAGTCATGGAATAGCTGAGAAAGTGCCAGCCCGGAAGTCTGAACTCATGGGTTCCAGAACTGGCTCCATCCTTAAACTCGCCGTGTAGCCCTGGGCATGCTTCTCGTGGCATGGCCGCCTCCATTGCCTCATCTGTGAAAAGGGAGGGCTGGACCGATGAGTGTCCGAAGGCCCCGCCAGGCTCCTGCAGCAGAGCCCTGTTGCTTGGCAACCTCTCTGGGAAGGCTACATGTCTGAGTACCTCATTGGGAATCTAAACACAGGTCTGGATGTCCTTGAGTCCCAAAGCAAGGTTTCTCTGGGCGGTGACTAGAGACCAGAATAGATATGAGATCCTAAATCTAAGCCTCTGGCTGCCTCTTTTCTTGCTTTTCCTGAGTCTGGCGATTTGAACCAAAAAAGCTTTCAGGCTGAGAGACCTTCCGTGCAAAGGTATGAGACTGGGTCTTTTAAACAAAATTAGCTGCAACCATGTATGAAGCACTTACTATTTCAGGAGCTTTAATTAGCCTCACCCCCTTTTTTGTCCTGAAACCAACCCTTTTAGAGCAGTACTTTCATTATCCCCACTTTACAGATGAGAAAACTGAGGTCCAGAGAGGTGAGGCAACCTGCCCCAGGTCCCAAACCTAGGAGGCAGAAAAATAGAGGTTGGGATCCTTGAAGTCTTACTCCAGAATCTCCTTTAAAGAAATTCTAAATGAAAACCTTTTTCTCAGAGTCATTAGAAATTAAGTTGCCTACTTAATGCCCTGTCACCCCCGAAGACATTCTTCAATGTAACTGCAAATCCCCCCCAAATTAGGGAATTAACATGGACACATCACTACCATCACTCCATGGAAACCTCAGACTCCATTTGAATTTTGCCACTTGTCCCAATAACTTCCTTTATAGCAAAGGGATCCAGTTTGGTCATGATTGTATCTGCTTGCCATATCTTAGTCTCCTTCAGTATGGAAGTTACAGGGTCTTTGGCTTTCACCACCTTGGCACTCTTGAGGATTGCAGGCTAGTTTTGTGCAATGTCCCATTATTTGGGTTTGTCTGATGTGTCCTCGTGATTTGGTCCAGAGTATGCACTTGCAGCAGGAACATCACAGGAGTGATGCTGTGATCTTCCCTGGGCATCCTATCAGGCGGTACATTGTTGTGATCTGTCCCATTCTTGAGGATGCACACGGATCCCCTGATCAGAGCCTGCATTCTTAATGACTTCACAATAGTCCACAAACCTCTCTTCCCCAGAAGTCACGTGGTGGGACCCATTTGACAAAGCAAACCCATTAGTTCCTCATTATCAAAGTAATTACACCTCCATAAAGTCTAGTGTGAAGCTATAGACACAGCTTCAGAGAAGCCAAGCTGTGCTTATATTTTTGGCTTTGGGCTACAAACAGCTGTGTAAACATTTTCAGGCCCAGACTCAAAATGGCTTATCTCGTGTCCTTGTTTCCCTCACTCTGCTCCTCAGTGAACCTGTTGGTGTTAAGACTCTTCCCCCCCCCCCACCCCGCTCTGTACTAAAACCTCACTTTCTAGTTTCTTTCTTGAGGACATACTTTGGGTCGGGCACAGTGACAATACATGTCACTAGGAGTACAGAGACTATTTAATTCCAGCCCCCATTCCTAAGAAGTCGGCATTTAATTAACTTCATGCAGGTTCTCATTTTAATTAATAACAACCATGGGATGTTGGACCCAAGTCTTTTGACTCTAAGTCCAGTGCTCTTTGTTTACTCCACTCTTTGCCTCTGGGATTTTCCACTGGGAGGAGATCAAGAACCTATGCAAACATGAACAGCTAACACTTCCTAAGCATCTAATGTGTACTGTGTACAGTCTTAGTTGCATACATATTGTATCTCATTGGGTTTTTCAACCATTCTGCAGTGGAGAAAACCGCGGTTTTGAGAACTATGACACACCCAAGGTCCACAGCTGGTTAAGTTGCAAGCTGAGACTAGAACTCCAGGCCCATGTCCCCACACAGAGTTCATAGCTGGTGAGGGATTCTCTGGAGGGATGATTTTGTCCATTGCATTTTCTGAACTTGTTGGAAAGAAAGAAAATGGAAAGATTTCGTGGAGGGAATACTTGGGACCTCTAGAGTGTGCCCATTCATTCCTTCATGCCATCAAACTGCTGTATTAGGCTCTGTGCCCACACCATGCTTATAGTGAGACCCCGAAGATACGGGATACAGTCTTGACCTTCACTATTCCCATATGAATGCCGTGTCCCGGCTCCCTTGATGTCTCACACAATTCCTCACAAGTATCCTATGAACTAGTCCTATATCCTCATTTTACAAATTTAGAATTCCAGGCTGGCAAAAGAGGCTCGGCGAGGTCCACACCATTCATTACAGGCTGGGCGTCGCCTTAGAAGCCCAGGGGTGCGGCAGGGAGGCCGACTTAGCGGGGATGGCACCACCCAGCCACGCGGGACCCTGAAAGTCTGAGTCTACTTTCTCCATCTCAGCCCGGCCTCTCTAAGCCAAAGCCGCTCAAACCTTCCGTTGCTGCTTTGGCAACCAGCGCGCCATTTCCGCTATCGCAAACGTCATTTCCGGCGCGCCGGACCGGGCACGTCCGGGTTTCGACATCCAGAACGGCGCGCTTCAGTCACCGGGTGGGATACTGTTGGGGACGTCGAACCTGGACGAGGCAAGCTGGGCTGGGGAGTGGAAAGGACGGGGAACTCCAGCCCAGGAGGGTGTAGGTGGGGCGTCCGGGGAGGCAGGGCTCGGCTTCGGCGGCGTGGACTTCGCAGACAGCCCTGCTGGGGCCGGGAGGGGGGCGGGCCCGCTCGGGGTTACCGGAACGTCGGGGCCTGGATCGATTTGGAAACGGAACTCCCACCACGAAGCCTGGACTGTAGGGTAGACAGGCGCCGGAGCCTTTGCATCAAGGCAGCCTGGCTTCAAGCCTTGGCCAGCTGTGGAACTTAGGGCAAGTTGTTAACCTTTCCGGGCCTCATTTTGCTCACCCGGAGCGTGGAAACGCCGATAGAACCAATCTGGTAGAAGTATCTTGATGTTACGTTAGATTGTTGGTCTGAAGCGTCCAGCAGGTACTTAGCACTAGCCGAGGGCTCTTTAACTCGTGACAACTCTGTGAGCGTTACCATGTCCAGTGCCCAGGGAGGCAGTACCATTCTTGTCTCCCATGTTTGCGGGACGCCGCGGAACATTTTTATCCTTCGCTCTCCTGGGTGGGGTGGGTCCAGAGGCACCCAACCGGTGCACCAGTGAGTAGAATAAGCAGGAAAAAAACTATCTAACAGAGCAGAGGAGGTAGACACTGCCTGTGGAAGTCATGAACTCCCTGTTCCTGAAGGCTGCTTGCGGCAACTGGCAAGCAAAAGTTACAATCATGTAGCGAATGTATTACTGTGCAGTGCACCAGGCGGGGAACTTAGTGTGCATTTAATACTCACACCAAGTGCCTCGTAGAGTGGGAATTTGAACTAAGGCTGTGATTTTAACACCCGATTTCTCAGTCACTTTGCTAGGTCCCCCCCCCCCCCATCTAATAATAGTAATGATGACGAAGGTAATGGTGGGACTGCAATACCAACTGTTGTTCCTTGAGCCCCTCTTCTAATTGCCCTCTCATTGACTCTGCCTTACAAACATTCTCTGAGGCTGGTATGCTAGTTAGTGCATTTAAGGCACTGCTGAGTCTGCTCACCCAGTTAATGAGAGCCGAATTTTCTATTACAGTTGAACTGTTTGGACTGTTATGGTAGTGTTCTTTTAAAAAAAAAAGATTTTATTTTTTTTAATTTATTTTGGGAGAGAGGGAGAAAAAGAGGAGAGAAACATCAATGTGTGCTTGCCTCTCGCATGCCCGCCCACTGGGGACCTGGCCCACAACCCAGGCTTGTGCCCCAACTGAAAATTGAACTGGTGACCCTTTGGTTTGCAGGCCGGTGCTCAATCCACTGGAGTGCACCAACTAAGGCAAGGTAGGGTTCTTAAACACAGCTACTTTCCAGATTATAAGAAGAGGTTGGTTCGTGTTTTGGGAGGAAAACTGAGTCTTAAGGTCTCATTAGATAATGTGTTTCAGAAAGTGTATTCTGAAGAAACCACTTCCTGGGACTGCCAAGGGTCCAGATACACCTTTCTCAGCAGTAGGAAAAACAACAAAAATGTTACCTGGCTGGTGTAACTCAGTGGATTGAGCTCGGGCCTGCAAACCGAAGGACCGCAGTTTGATTCCAGGTCATGACATATGCCTGGGTTGCAGGCCAGTTCTCAGTGGGGGACCTACAGGAGGCAACCATACACTGATGTTTCTCTCCTTCTCTTCCCTTCTAAAGATAAATAAATAAAATCTTTAAAAAAAAAACGTGGAGGGATGTAGCCATGCCTGGGACAATGGCTACAGTTTCCGAGGCAGTCATTTATGGAATAACTTAAATGTTATTCTCCTGTGGTTTGTGTGAGAAATGTTTTATGACACCGAGTAGGACAAGGAAATAAGACGCTTGAGTCACATTGACTGTTGGGACTAGTCTTTCGTTCCACCCGTTTTATGACTGATTGTTTTTTAAAATATGTTTTATATGTTTTTAATGTCTGCGTTTGGAATTGAAACAATGATTTTAATGGACTCTGAGTTCACAGGAAGTTCTGAAGGTAGTAAGGAATAGGAACTCACAAGGAAGTCTTCTCTTGATGCCCTGAGAACTTAACCACAGACTGTGCCTTTTTTGTCGGTTCCTTTAGTGACTGGCTATGTCACTGTCCCACTTGTACCGGGACGGGGAAGGCCACATGGATGATGACGAGGATGAGAGGGAGAACTTTGAGATCACTGACTGGGATTTGCAGAATGAGTTCAACCCCAACCGGCAGCGGCATTGGCAGACCAAGGAAGAGGCCACCTATGGAGTGTGGGCAGAGCGCGACTCGGATGAAGAGCGGCCCAGCTTTGGAGGCAAACGGTACCGGCTGGCACGGGGCTGCTTCCCTTTGTAGCCTGGAAGGGGTTGGGGTAGCCGGAGAGGGGTTTCGGGGGATACCCCACTAAATATACACTTCTCTCCTGGCCTTACCAAGTCCCTTAGCTGAGATGTCAGCCAGTGAGGCTCAGCTTTCTCTTTAAGAGAGAAGCATTGCCCTTTCACTGATTGATCACCGGCTGGTGCTTGCTGAGCAGTGATGTAGGGCCCTGTGCGGTAGACCCAGTCCTTGCTGAGAGCCCAGACCCTGGTGGGTGGAGATGGGTAGTAATCGACAGTGTGTAACTAGGATTTGGGACCTGGGGGAGAGCACATTGTAGGATTTTTGACCTGGGGGAGAGGGCAGGGGAGATTTCTTTAGAGAAGCAACCGTGGAGCTGATAAGGAGAACAGGAGGTAACTAGGGTGGGAGGAGAGGCCCAGGCCCTTGACGGGAGGCAGCAGGGTACCCATGAGGATGTGAATGGGTTTGCCGGCTGCAGTCGAGAAAGGGAGTCGGGTGTAGTTTGAGAAGAGGCCTGGGGCTCTGTTGGAGAGGGTGTGGCTGGGGGCAGGGTGATGTTTGGAGAAGACCTTTCTGCTGATGTACAAAGTTGGTGTGGAGCCACTGTGGGCTGGAAGCTCTGTGAGGGGGCTGAGGCTGCAGTCCCTACGGAGGTGGCAGAGGCTCTGGCTAGGATGGGGACAGATGAGGCTTGAGGCCGAAAGTCTCCTCAGTGTGAATCCATGTGTGTGGCCCACACTTTACTCAACCAAAGTGTGTAGCAGGTTTGGGTTTGTCTCTCTGTCCCCATCCGTGGCCTGCAGGCTCCAGCCCATTGAGATTGTGCCTGAGAGAAGAAAGTATAGTTCAGCCTCCCCTCATCTGGCAAGGAAATCTGAAAGTGGATGATGAATAGATCGGGGGTCAAGAACTGCATTGTCACAAGATAATAGCAGCCAGCATCTGTTGGCTGCTTGCTTGTCCAGGGTTCTCCCATGCCTGGTCCTCTTTACCTTACGAGACAGGCACCACAGTCACCACCCATTTTGTAGGTGAAGGAGCTGCAGCCGAAGGCCACACGGCTAGGCTGGGAGAATCTGGGCCTGTCTGACCCCAGAGTTCAGACTGTTACCCACTGAGGTATAGGGCATCTTTCAAGAAGGAATTCTCTGTTGTGTTGCTCTCGTGGGGATGTTTAATTTCTAGGTTAGTCATTTTATAAAGCATCGCTTTATTTTGCAGTATTCCCAGGGTTTTTCATTAGAACCTTCTCTCTGTTGCTTTAACCCACAATACAAAAGTACTAGCTTCAGTTTATGCAAAAGGGAGCTGTGGTTAATGACCTATTTTAAGTACTGTTCTTGAGGCAGTCAGTTAAAATTAATACTTTCCTTCTCAAGAGTTAATTTCTTAGGTATTATTGTGTAGTTTTCATTTACAAATAAATTTAATGGACACATACTTTTTCTCAGTTTGATATAATTGTTAATATACTTTCTATTCATGTAATCTCTTTTAATGTGTTTTTATTTATTCATGATTTTTAGCTGTCATAATTTCTCTTTGATTTTACATTTGAAATAGTGTCCAGAACAAATGCTTTTTAAAGTAAGTGTGGTACACCAGGCTTGGCACTGTAAAAAAAAGAGTGAAAGGGAAGTTGGATTATCACATCATTTATTGAACATTCAGTCAGCTTTGCACCGATATTGACAGCTCTTTAGCCAGAGAGCTGATTCAAGCCCATCAGATAAAAATGTGAAGTGCAGTAACAGTAAGCCAGACCTGGGCCCCTTTTGATATAAGTAAAGTGTTGCTTTTTAAATGGATCCCATGAGCTCCGCTGTAAGGAACCCTTTGGCCAGTGGAGTTCTAGGAGGCGTGGCTACGGGGAGTTCTTTCCGTCTACCCATGGGCATTCTGTCTGTCTGCAGGGCTCGTGACTACTCCGCGCCCGTCAACTTCATCAGTGCCGGGCTCAAGAAAGGGGCGGCGGAGGAGGCGGAGCTGGAAGATTCTGAGGATGAAGAGAAACCCGTTAAGCAGGATGAATTTCCTAAGGATTTCGGACCAAAGAAATTAAAAACGGTAGCATCTTTACTGAGGGACTGTGAGCTTAGTAATAGCCTTGGAAGGTCCTTGCCGCCTAAGCCTGTCCCAGCGAGTGGGGCGGGGCGTGGGGTGCAGCTGAAGTCCAGTTGTGGGGTTCTCCGTGTGGTGGTGGGCGCTTCGAGGTGTGAAGTGTGCGGTGCTGCCCCTTTTCTGGCCTCACACACACCATAGATGTGCATTCGGTCCGTATGACATGTCACATGGTGTCCCATCGGCCACGCTTGCTTGCTTAGGTTTCTCTTCTTTTTCATCAACTAAGCTTTGATGTTTCTTTTCAGGGTGGCAATTTTAAACCCAGCCAGAAAGGTTTTGCAGGAGGAACCAAGTCATTCATGGATTTTGGCAGCTGGGAAAGACACACAAAAGGAATTGGACAGAAGCTTCTGCAGAAGATGGGCTACGTCCCTGGGAGGGGCCTGGGGAAGAATGCACAGGGTAGGCACCGGCGCTGTTGTCGGTTCGGATGAGGGAGGCCGGGTGCAGGCGGTGGGTGGGGAAGGAGGGCACTGTGGGGCCTGGTCTGCCTTTTCTCCTCTGAAAGCACTTCAAGTCCTCAGCCTGGTCCAGCACAGGACAAGCTGTGTTCCTGAGCTGTCTTGCAGTATCAGCCTCAGATGAGTGCTTGTTCCAGCAAGAGGAGAGGGTTAGGGTCTAAAACAGGTTGCAAATCCATAAATCATAAATGGAAGACAGGCTTCTTTTTGGCCTGTCCAGTGGTTCTAAAAAAAGTTGGCTTTGTTGCCAGCAATTAAAAACGGATCGTTTCACCTAACATTCCAGGTCCGCCTGGCAGTACCTGGTTCAGCTGGGTCACAGCTGCCTCGGGGCAGTGTGCATGGCCTGCTCTCCACCACAGCCTGCTGCCCCCTCCCCCGCCCTCCCATGCAGTCCGCTTGACTCCTTTCCATTAATCTTCCTGGGCCCCGAAGGCCTGAGAGTTCGTAGTCCCTGCTCACATTCAGTTTTGCAAACATAGCTGTCTGTGCTTTGGGAATATTCACAAAACATTGTGTGTAGCTTTTTCCTTTTTTTTAAAGCCTTTTTAAATTTAAAGAAAAGATTTTATTTATTTATTTCTAGATAGAGGGGAAGGGAGGGAGAACGAGGAGGAGAGGACCGTCAGTGTGTGGTTGCTTCTTGTGCGCCCCATACTGGGACCTGGCTGGCAACCCAGTCGTGTGCCCTGACTGGGAATTGAACTGGCAACCCTCTAGTTCACAGCCCACGCTCAATCCACTGAGCTACACCAGCCAGGGCTGTGTGTAGCTTTTTTAGTAGTGAGAGACATGTAGCTATGAAGTTGGCTGAGCAAATCCTGCATCAGTTACCTCCAGCCTCACTGAGACACCCTTTCTCCTCCTGGCCTCGGATCCAAAGCCCCGTCAAGACAGCCCCTCTCCCAGGCTCTCAGCTCCCTGGTGCCAGGGCCACTCACAGCAGGCAGCTGCAGCCATCCCGCAGGAGATGGCTGTTCTTGTCCATGAGCCGTTGCCCAGGCACAGCCCCGAGTGGGTGTGAGTAGTCGTGTGCTCTGTGATTCACAGACCGCTCCCTGAATCACAGCGCAGCTCAAACCCGGGTTATGTGTGGGAAACCCTAGCTGATGAAAAACCCACGATGTGAAGTGGAGATAGCAGCGGTGACCAGGAATGGGAGTGGGGTGTGTTCGAATTGTGATCTCAGCGGTGCTAACTGGAAGTGGGAGGTGGGGGAAAGTTTGGGGTGAGGGGAAATTTTTATTGAAATGTGGTTTTGTTTATGAACTCTTTTATAAGAACATTTATTTCCAAGGCTTAAGCACATTCTAAAATGAGTTGAGCACAGATGGTATGAATGTGGAATAGATGGAATCTCAAATGCAGCTTTACCTGCTTCAGTCAGAATCAATATATTATCTGAACCCCTTCACTTTCCATATTAAAGGCTCCCAGTGAGCATAGGATCAGCCCGCCACAGTTCCCTGTTACAGGTGCTCCATCGTAACATGAGCCCGAGGGGAAACGGTAGTCTGTGCACTGGACATAAGTAGCCTCACGTCAGCAAACTGCCCTGCGGCAGCGTCAACGCTCAGAGGCACTGATCGCACAGGACGTGAGCAGTGTCCCGGGGCGGAGGGGCGCTCCTTCCTGGGCCGCATGGCATGGTGGGTCCAGGAAGTGTGAGTTCACGGACTGACCTGTTAAAATGCAGGAACTGCTGTCATCTGAAGTCTCTCTTTTTCTCTTTTGCTGAAATTGTCAGGCATCATTAACCCGATCGAAGCCAAACAGAGAAAGGGGAAAGGCGCCGTGGGAGCCTACGGCTCGGAGCGGACCACCCAGTCCCTGCAGGACTTCCCCGTGGTTGACTCCGAAGAGGAAGCGGAAGAGGTGACTGGAAGCCGGGAGGTGCGGGTGGGTGGTGTCTGGGCCATTCTTACCTGTTCGTTCCTTCATTTGCTCACGTGTTCATTCACTGTCAGTCTTCACGTGGTCATTGCATGGTGTGGGCCGGTCACTGTGCTGGAGGGCGGGCGTGCATGGCCTAGGGCCTGGGGCAGACAGGCAGCACACAGTCAGCACACAGTCAGCTACTGTGGGGTTGGAAGGAGCAGTGAGTGCTAAGAAGTGCCAGGGTAGAAAATAAGACGGGTGTGTGTGTGTGTCGGGGCAGCGGGTGTGTGTGTGGGGGGGGGGTGACTCGCTTCCAATGAAGTGGTCAGGGGGTGGTCAGGAAAGACCTCAGGAAGAAGACGTTTCTGTTACCCCGGCTGGAGAGAGGGCATTGGCCCCAGGCGAGTCAGAGGCCAGAGGTCACAGCCCAGCCCTGAGCGTGGCAGTGAAGAGGTGCTAAGGAGGCGCCGTGGCAGCACGTGTGGCAGGGTGGCAGCACGCCAAGCAGGGCGGAGGGAGCGCGCCGAGATGGTGGCCCACGCCACCTGGCCTTGAAGGCCACTGAGGGCCGGGCTGGCATCCCACGTGCAGCAGGGAGCCACCTGCTGTCAGCCGTGTATGGCTCTGCTGCAGTGATGGAAGGGGCCGGCTCTCCTGATCGACAGGTACTCTTTTCCCCTTTGTGTTTATGGGGGAAGCACGACACTGTGAAGACTCGTGTGGTCACCATTCTTGTCACTGACCCTGTCCTTTTACTGAGGAAGGGGGCATTTGATAGTGGGGGGTTGGCTGCTGAGTCAGGGGCTCTCAGACCTGGAAGCTAACAGGGGCCCGGCATTCAACAGAGTGGGGCAGGTGAGCCAGGTGAGAGGCAGCAGGGCGTGGTGGGGCTTGAGGCGCAGGCATAGCCCGTCTAAAGCTGTAGTTTCTGTTTGGCTCTGGGCAATTATTGCCACATAGATGGTGGGCGCAGTGTTGCCTTATTTAATGGTTTCCCCAGTGTAGAGGTCCAGATTTTTTTCTTTTAGGAAAATGTTACAAGTGTTAGACCAATGTGAGAAAAACAAAGTAACAAACATAAAACCCACTTCAATGGGCTGAACTCTGCCACCCCCAGTCTAACAGCTTTCTCCTTTCCTGTAGATCGTCCTGCAAGAAAGTTCTGCAGCGCTGCTTATAAAAGATGGTTTTGCCTTCAAACCTAGGGGCCTGCTTATTTACCCTCATTTTAAATTAGAACCAGGGTTTTATGTACCAAAAAAAAAATGCTTTTTGTTGTGTTTCTAAGTTTTACACAAGGTAAATTCCAAACCAGCATTGTGCTCAATATAGCAGATGCTTGGTAACTATTGCCTTTGTCTTTATTTTTGTTTCTCTTTCCAGTCTAACACACCTGCCTTCCAAACCTCATTATTCGTAAGGGGGGTGGCTGTCCCAGGAGTATCATTAGGTGGTTTCAGTGTCACGTGGGCACAGTCCTTAGCACAGGACCTGGTGGACATCTAAGATAGCAGCTCCAGATGTCTGTTCATGGTCTCAGTGGCCCCGCCTGCTGTGAAAGTGGTGTGCTCGTGTGACAGGCTGTGTCCCTCTGGTCCAGGAGTTTCAGAAGGAGCTGAGCCAGTGGAGGAAAGACCCCAGCGGAAGCAAGAAGAAGCCCAAATACTCTTACAGGACAGTGGAAGAGTTGAAGGCCAAGGGCAGGATTAGCAAGAAGCTCTCCGCTCCACAGAAGGAGCTGTCTCAGGTCAAGGTATGTGGGCCCTGGGACACCTGGTCTAGGATGGGGCGCTGGAAGACAAAAAGTAGTCCCACAGCCCCGAGTCCGTCACCAGACGTTTTCTGAGGGTTCTTCGGGATTCTGTCCGGGATTTTTTCCCATCCTGCTTTTCTCACTTGAGAGCAGCATTCAGTGGGCTCACACCTTCAGGAAGCTGTCCAGTCCCTGCCATGGGCCCGGCACGCTTCCCTGCACCCGAGGAGTGAGACAGCATGCCCTCCTTTCAGAAGCCTACAGCCGGGAATTACCGAAAACCCAGTGTGGCCACGATCTTCAATGAGCACGGAGTTCCAGGGGGCGGCTGTACTGAAACTGCACTCCCTTCACTGCGAGACCTTTACCCTTTCCCTGGTTCCGTTTTCTTTTTTTTTTTTTAATTTTTTATTGATTATGCTGTTACAGTTGTTCTATTCCCCCTTCATTCCCCTCCTCCCTACCCCCCATCCCCACCATTACCCCCCCTTTAGTTTATGACCATGTGTCTCAATTCCTTTAGATTCTATATTTCCCATGCTATTCTTGCCCCCCCATCTATCTTCTATCTATTTCTATTTTCTATGCTACTTATTTTCTGTACCTTCTCCCCCCCTTCTCTTCCTCCCACTCCCCTGTTGCTAACCCTCCTTGAGATCTTCATTTCTATGTTTCCACTCCTGATCTAGCTGTCCTTTTAGTTTGCTTTCGTTTTAGGTGTGGTTGTTAATAACTGTGAGTTTGTTGTCCTTTCACTGTTCATGTTTCTTTAACTTCTTTTTCTTAGATAAGTCCCTTTAACATTTCATATAATAAGGGCTTGGTGATGATGAACTCCTTGAATTTGATCTTATCTGAGAAGCACCTTATCTGTCCTTCCATTCTAAATGAAAGTTTTGCTGGATAGAGCAATCTTGGATGTAGGTCTTTAGATTTCATGACTTGGAATACCTCTTTCCAGCCCCTTCTTGCCTGTAAGGTCTCTTTTGAGAAATCTGCTGACAGTCTGATGGGGACTCCTTTATAGGTGATTGTCCCCTTAGCTCTTGCTGCTTCTAGGATTCTCTCCTTCATTTTAATTTTGGCTAATGTAATGATGATGTGCCTTGGTGTGTTCCTTCTTGGGTCCCACTTCTTTGGTACTCTCTGAGATTCCTGGATTTCCTGGAAGTCTATTTCCTTTGCCAGATTGGGGAAATTCTCCTTTATTATTTGTTCAAATAATTTTTCCACTGGTGGCTGTGCCTTTCCCCCTTCTGGTACCCCTATAATTCGGATGTTGGAGCGTTTAAAGATGTCCTGGAGGTTCCTAAGACTCTCCTCATTTCTTCGAATTCTTGCTTCTTGACTCTTTTCTGTTTGGCCATTATTTGCTTCCTTCTGGTCCACTCCATTGATCTGAGTCCCAGTTTCCTTTTCATTGCTATTGGTGTCCTGTGCAATTCCATTCATTTCAATTAGTTTTGCTTTCATATATTTGTCTAATTTGTCGGTATAATCAACCAGTTCTGTGAGGATCCTGATCACCAATGTTTTAAACTGTGTGTCTGTGAGTTTTGCTATTTCTTCGTCGCTTCGATTTATCTCTGGGGCTTTGAGGTCTTCCTGCGACATTTTTGGTCTGTTCTGGCCCTTTAAGTGTGAGAAGCGGGGCCTTGGACTCCCAGGTCTCTGGGTTGTGACGCTGTATGTGGGGGCGTGGTCAGAGCGGGGAAATGGCGACCCCCTCTGCCGCTTCTCACAGCTGGGTGCGGAGGAGCAGCACCTTAGGTGGTTCACCTGGGCCGGGCCACTCAGAGTCGCTGGGTTATGACGCTGTATGTGGAGGTGGGGTCAGAGCAGGGAAATGGCGGCGCCCTCCACTGCCGCTTGCTGTGGGGACCTGCCGGCCAGGTCCAACCGCCCACTCCCTCACCTGTCCACCCGCGCACAAATGCGCGACCTCAGTCAATACGCAGCCCCGCTGCCCCGCTGTCTCCCCCGCGGTCGCTCGCCTGGTTGCTCGCTCCTCGCTCACTAGGTCCAACCCTGCGCCTGGATTCCGCGTCTGGATTCCGCGCCTGAGTCTGGCTGACCGAGACCTCCTGTGCAATCTCGCTTCACCAGCCACTGGTTTAGCCCCTTACCGGTCAGGCTGCAGAATTTGTTGTTAACGGACTTCCGAAAAGTTCAATTTTCCGCGTTCTGGCTGTGTTTTCTGTTGCTAATATTTAGTTGTCCCTAAACTTGGTTGTGTGAGAAGGCACGGCACATCCACCTATGCCTCCATCCTCCCTGGTTCCGTTTTCAACAGGCATGGTTTGCACATTAAGCCTTGGTTTCATTTTTTTAAGGATAGAATCTTAGAAGTCACAGGACAATCAAGGAACAGGACCGTCTTTAAGGCACTTAGATACTGGAAAGGGAGTGCCCCCCTCTCTGACCAGGCAGGCCACGGTCCTCTGGGCACGGCAGCGCTGCACGTGTTGGTGTTGAGACTAGATTACAGCCCTGGCCAGTGAGGCTCCGTTGGTTGGGCATCGTACTGCAAAGCTAAAGGTCACAGGGTCAGTTCCCAGTCCAGGCACATGCCTGGGTTGTGGGTCTGGTCCCTGGCCAGAGCACATATGAGAAGCAACTGATGTTTCTCTCCCACTCTTACTCCCTCTCTCTAAAAATAAATAAAGTCTTAAAGTAAAAAAGAACAGATTGCATTATCACACAATCATGTGCCTAGTCTTAGGTTTTCCTTCACTGCCCCGAGTAGCCACAGAACAGTGGTGACAGCTGTGTGCAGTAGTCTGGGTAGGCGCGACAGTGTTGTGGCACTCAGTCTTGAGTGGGGCTCTCAGTGTCAGGGCGCCGTGCCTCAGGTTATCTGGGTCCTGGTGAGAAAGTCAGGCATCCAGGCCCACCCAGATGTAGCGTGGGCCGGAGTGTGTGTTTCCCTGAGCGCAGCTGGTGCGGGCGGTTCTCGGCTCGCACTTCACGGAGACGGTCAGTAAGCCCGTTCCAGTGTGGTCCGTGTTCCAGTCCTCCGTCCTCTTGACATGCTGGAGTGAGCTCATTTCCTAGGTTGCCTTTGGCCAGTAACTGGGTTTTTGTATGTTTTACTTTGTTTTTAAATTAAACTTGTATTATTACAGAGCAGCGTGTGGTATATTTTAGACAATTAGGCAATACAGAGGCAAAATAAAATACCATTTTCCTTCTTTCTTGTAGTTTTCAGATCTTGATGTACATCCTTCCAGATCTTTGCTGAAACATACATGTTTTTTTAACCAAAATGTTACTTTGATTATATATGCTTGATCAGCTGCTTTGATTGGAATAGCCTCTACTTTTCCATGAAAATAGATTTTCATCTCTACTAAACAGTTATATTCAAATTTCATCAGTTTTCCTAGAAAGTCTTCTCCATCTGCTTTGTCCAAAGGGACCCCGAGCCGCCTCTAACACAGGGCAGCATGGACCCCCTGCCTTCCCCTGGCTCTGCTGGCTGAGCAGGCGGTTTCATACCCTGCTCCTCACACTGCGTCCCCAGCCCTAGGGGTATCGTTTACAGTGCAGCAGTGCTGAGTGCTAACCAGCCCCCTCTTCCATTCTCCAAGGTCATAGACATGACCGGCCGGGAGCAGAAGGTCTATTACAGCTACAGCCAGATCAGCAACAAGCACAACATCCCCGACGACGGGCTGCCACTGCAGTCACAGCAGCTGCCGCAGCCGGGCAAGGAGGCCAAGGCCCCAGGCTTTGCGCTGCCCGAGCTGGAGCACAACCTACAGCTGCTCATCGACCTCACGGAGCAGGAGATCATCCAGAACGACCGGCAGCTGCAGTACGAGCGGGACATGGTGGTCAACCTCTCCCACGAGCTGGAGAAGATGTCGGAGGTGCTGGACCACGAGGAGCGGGTCATCGCCAACCTCAGCAGAGTCCTGGAGATGGTGGAGGAGTGCGAGCGGCGCATGCAGCCCGGCTGCAGCCACCCTCTCACGCTGGATGAGTGCGCCCGCGTCTTTGAGACGCTGCAGGACAAGTACTACGAGGAGTACCGCATGTCCGACCGCGTGGACCTCGCCGTGGCCATCGTCTACCCGCTCATGAAGGAGTACTTCAAGGAGTGGGATCCCCTCAAAGTGAGTCGCTGGCCCTGGTCCGGGGCATGCCTGGGTCACAAGAGCGTGTCTGGGGGGAGGGGGGCTGCGGACCACGCCCTTCAGCTGCTGCGTTCCTCCTCAGGACTGCACCTACGGCACCGAGATCATCTCCAAGTGGAAGAGCCTCCTGGAGAATGACCAGCTCCTGTCCCACGGCGGGCAGGACCTCTCGGCCGATGCCTTTCACAGGTACCCTGTGCAGCAGTGCGGAGCGTGCGCACTGCTGTCCCCTGGGGGGCTGTGGAGGATCACTATGGTGGCGGGGGGTGGGCACCGTCCTTTATAAGCCCTCTGCCACATGCAGGCATGTTGGGGATTTCAGTCCCCGTCATTAGTTCGCCCCCTGCTTGTCAGGTATCTAAGGAGGAGTGTGCGTGTGCTGGGCTCACCCTGGCAGTTTCACAGTGACTGGAATAGGCAGGCTGTAGTAAGAAGTGGTCACGTAAACCTGCAGTGCTAGCTGGGCACAGCGGTACAGAATATTGAAGGCGTACACCTCTTTCGGGGGGTGGGTTGAGGCAGAGGTCTTTGCGGGGGACATTTAATCTGGAGCCCAAAGGTGAGAGGTGGTAGCTGTGCAGAGAGCTCGGGATGGAAAAACACATGACACATTGAGAGGGGACGTTGTGCAGGGGCCATGAGCCAGTGTGACCCCGCAGCAGCCCTGCCAGGCAGGCAGGCACTGCCTAGAATGAGGGCCCCGGGTTGGGTGGGCGGCCAGGAAAGCAAGGAAGAGGCGGGCGCAGGTCAGGCCAGTGTGGAGACCAGACTGATGGCTTTCTGACTGCATTTCCAGGCTGCACCTTTCTCTTCCCTATTTGGGAGGCGCGGGTGCTGGTGTACTCCGCACACGGTGAGCCCAGGCAGCGCAGTGAGCCAGCCTGCCCTGTCTCTTCCCCGTAGGCTGATATGGGAAGTCTGGATGCCCTTTGTTCGAAATATCGTCGCCCAGTGGCAGCCACGGAACTGTGAGCCGATGGTGGACTTCCTGGATAGCTGGGCGCACATCGTCCCCGTGTGGATCCTGGACAACATACTGGACCAGCTCATCTTCCCCAAGCTGCAGAAGGAGGTAGGGCCCGGGCCTGGGAGGCAGATCGTTGGTAGCCACGGGGACTTGGTTCACTTTGCTCTTTCTCAGTGCTGCGGAAACGCCTGCAGTTCATACAGCCGTGCTCGTGTTCTGTGCAAACTCTGGCTGTTCAGGCTGCACCTTTCTCCCAAGAGCCCCCACTAATAGGGGATTCTTTCTCTTGGTTTCTTTCTTAAAACTGAAACTGTGCCATTTCTGAGACGTAATACAGTTGAATGGCTGTGTTTATATGTGGGCGTCTGTTTTGAGGGAATGTAATGCAAAATGCCTACCACGCACCCTGGCTGCCTCTTTGTCCCTAACCCGTCCCTCCACGAGAGAGGGACTGTGTTCTCCACACACGTGCACAGGGCCGGACCTCGGTTGGCCATGAGAGCACATGGCCTCCTGGCCGTGACCCACACAGGGCATCGTGTGGCTGCCCTGCTCCCGTTCCTCCTGCAGGTGGAAAGCTGGAACCCGCTGACGGACACCGTCCCCATCCACTCGTGGATCCACCCGTGGCTCCCCCTCATGCAGGCGCGCCTGGAGCCGCTGTACTCCCCCATCCGTAGCAAGCTGTCCAGCGCCCTGCAGAAGTGGCACCCCAGCGACTCCTCTGCCAAGCTCATCCTCCAGCCCTGGAAAGACGTCTTCACCCCCGGCTCCTGGGAAGCCTTCATGGTCAAGAACATAGTGCCCAAGCTGGGTAAGGAAACAGGGCAAACACGTCCATGCCCCGCAGCTCCGGGGCCTTGGTTCTCTGGCAGCGTCGGGCCTGCGCTCCTGAAACGAGGCCTTCGAGCCGCAGGACGAAGCTGATGAGCACAGGGCGTTTCTCACTGTAGGAGGTGTCCTTTCTGTGCATTGAGGCTGAATGTAAATGAAACCGGGTCCTTAGGGCAGTGACCGAAGGGCTGTGGTGGCCACACCAGACTCAGTGTGCCTGCCTCCTGGTTCCTGAACGGTCTGGCCCAGGGTGGTAACATGACAGCCACTGGTGCTGTGAGATTCTCGTGGTATTTGACACTAAACATGAGTTATTTCTGGGTTAGAGAGGAAACGGATCTTTAGGAACTGCCATGTCGAGAGCGCACAGCTGACTGTTAAAAGCAGACCCAAGGCCAACACTGGCTGGTGAAGACTGCGTGCTTTGTGCCTCTGTGGCTTGGCCTCAGAGACCGGGTCTCTCTTCCAGGGATGTGTCTCGGAGAGCTAGTCATTAACCCCCACCAGCAGCACATGGATGCTTTTTACTGGGTCATCGACTGGGAAGGGATGATCTCCGTCTCCAGCCTGGTGGGGCTTCTTGAAAAGCACTTCTTCCCCAAGTGGCTTCAGGTACGTTTGCTTTGTTGGGGTGGGATGGGGGCAGGGAGGCTTCGCTTAATTCCTGGGTAACTGGCAGTTGACAGTACTGTAACCAGGTAACGAAAGTAAAATTACGTGGTAGGATAGGGACAAGTTAAGCAATGACAACAGTAAGTGCCATTTCTTGACCATTTACCACGTGCTGGATGTTCTAAGCACTTTATTTGCATGATTTTGGGATGGGATACCCCTGTTGTACAGACCTGATGCGCAGAGTTCAGGTACAAGGCACTTAGCTAGCAAGCTGACCCTAAATTCCACCCTCCTAAGTGCCTGGCTGTTCAGTCCCATAAACATCACCAGCGTGTAGGACCGTGGCTAAAACGTAGGTCCTCCCATTTAGAAGTTTTTTTTTTCTTTTTATTAGAGGGGAAGGGAGGGAGAAAGGGAGAGAAGGATCAGTGTGCAAGAGATACATCAATTGGTTGCCTCTCACAAGGGCCCCAGCTGGAGACCTGGCCCACAACCCAGGCATGTGCCCTGACTGAGAATTGAACTGGCCACCCTTTGGTTCACAGGCTGGCACTCAGTCCACTGAGCCACCCCCAGCCGGGGCCTCTTTAGAAGTTTTGATCCCATTCATTGCCTCTGTATATGCAAGTTTCTTACTTGTACCTTTTCGGCAGGTGCTGTGCTCCTGGCTCAGTAACAGCCCAAATTATGAGGAGATCACCAAGTGGTACCTGGGCTGGAAGTCCATGTTCTCAGACCAAGTGCTGGCACACCCGTCCATCAAGGACAAGTTCAACGAAGCCCTGGACATCATGAACAGGGCAGTGTCCTCCAATGTCGGTGAGTGGGGATTCCGTTTGGGATGTCCTGGCCCTGAGCGCCTGTTTCCGAACACGTGAATGACACAGAACCTGAGTGTTCAGGTGCCGTGGGCTGACTCCAGCGTGGCTCACCGTCTGCTCCAGCAGACACCGACCCGGGCCCCAGGCCGGTACATCATTGGCGAGCACCACCGCCGGCTTTCCCAGGACTGGGAGGGGCACCTTTCCCTCAGTGGGGGCAGATTTAAGCAAGGGTCACACTATGTGGGTCTGCCTCCGTGCCCACCTTCATAACCACTGTGCTGTGTGGCTTTTTGTGTCTGCTCAGCCAGCGTTGGGTGTGCTAGTCCCGTGCAACAGCTCACAGTGGAGTCGGGGTATGGTCAGACTCTCAGTAGTTGTTTAACATCTCTCAGACCGTTTTCTTTACCTGTAAAACCATCGTGATGTCTACCTTCTAGGTTTTATCTAAAAACCTAAAGGGACTGAGGTACCGTTTTGTACAGTGCCCAGCGGGTGTCTGCTGGGTCAGAGGGGGCAGCAGACTGCTCAGTTAACACCTCCTCCCCACCCGCCTCAGTTCTAGGTGAGTGGCTGCCTAGACCAGGAGTCCGAGCGCCTCTCCAAGTGGCCCCTCTGACCACGTCTCACGTGAGGTCGACAGGGCCGAGAGCTTGTCCAGAGTCACACAGCTTAGGAGCAGTGGCTGTGACTGGAGTTTCTGTTTCATGAGCCTTTATTACACAAAAATGGCTTTGGAATTCATAGGTTATTTAATATTGTGCTGAATGAAGTAAATGTTTTTAATCTTTATCTAGGCCCTTCAGAGGGTATCAGTGGGCTGTTTTCATGCCCTGTAGACAGTCCTGCAGCCTCCCCAGCTCCCCACCTGCAGCCCTCAGCTGGTACTGGCCACATGGTCCTTCTCTGTCCTTCGACATCTGGGCTCCAGCTCCCCACATACACTTTAAATTCCTCCAGGCCCAGGGGCCTGTGTGGTGAGTTACACACACGCCTAGTACAGGCCCGAGGTCTTCAAGGTTCTGCAGGCTCCCTTTTTGGCAGTGAGGCGGGAACAGAAACTCTCTGGCCAGTAGGTATCATTAGCCAGAAGCTTCCAGACCCATTTTTGTGTGATTCTAGCCAAGTGTCTAGGTGCTTGATCGTCTGTCTTAGTGCTTTGTGAACTTGAGGCACAGCTACCCTTTGGTGACAGGTTTTACAGAGGTTCGCCCAGTTGTGGCCTAGATTCTGTGTGTGCTGGGACACCCCCTCACCTGCTGCCTCCATCTCTCCCAGGCGCCTACATGCAGCCTGGAGCACGGGAGAACATCGCCTACCTCACTCACACGGAGCGGAGGAAGGACTTCCAGTATGAGGCCATGCAGGAGCGACGGGAGGCCGAGAACATGGCCCAGAGGGGCATCGGCGTGGCCGCCAGCTCCGTGCCCATGAACTTTAAGGATCTCATTGAGACCAAGGCCGAGGAGCACAACATCGTGTTCATGCCTGTCATCGGGAAGCGACATGAAGGGAAGCAGCTGTACACCTTCGGCCGCATCGTCATCTACATCGACCGGGGTGTGGTGTTTGTCCAGGGCGAGAAGACATGGGTGCCCACCTCGCTGCAGAGCCTGATCGACATGGCCAAGTAGGCTGCGGCAGGACCCCCGCGCCCCAGAGGGGCTCGTCTGTGAATAAACAGTACTTTACACCACCTTGGAAAGAGGGCTTCTCTACTCACTGGTGCCCCCATCAGGCCAGGTCGCTGAGGAGGGCTGTGAAACACGGTGACGCCGTCTTACCAAGTCCCTCTGCAGTGTGCCGTGCTCTGCACACAGCAGCCCAGTGGAGGGGCTTTCTGTTCCCTCCCAAAGTGGCTCACAGCAGAGAGGGTCCTCTGCAGCCCCACCATGGCGCCCTCCCTTTTATTTTCTGGCAGCAGCTGCTTCTGCCTCAGCCGACACTGAGTACGTTACAGCAAGTTCGAGTCAGTGGCAGGAGGATCTTGTGTGGTGTTCCTGATGATTTCAAGGTCTTCACAGCCCTGATAATCTGGCTCTTCCTGAAACGCCCAGGTGTCCATGGAGAGCTGGGTGAGCTTTTGGACGGGGAACCAGTGGACAGAGGTGTCGTTAAATGTGTCTGTGTACCGCGGAGTCTGAGGGAACGCGTGCTCCTCCAGTCCCTCTAGGATCTGAGCACAGAAGACAGAGAGTAAGCTTGACCGTCACAGCAAACCCCGCTCTGCCTCAGTTCGCCCCCACCGGCGTCCGCCTGCAGGGTCTGGGCAACGCGGTTCCCAGCGACAGAGAAACGGGAGGACTCCGTCCCCTTTCCACCCCGGCCCCTTCACTCAGGGGTATATACCTTCGCAACATAGGTGTAGTGTTCCCGAAGAATCCTTGTCAACAACCTGGAGATAAAAGATTTTAAAGCACGATTAGGAGGTATGAAAGTGATTTCATCCAACTTAAGACAAACAAAAGGCGATTTAAATACAGTAAGAATTGTACAAATTGGGGGTGCAGAGTAGGCGTTCAGTAGAAAGTGTGACTGTCCCAGGCACTGCAGCCATTTCATCAGGGAGGGACAACAGAGCAGGCTCCTAGGCACGGTGAGACGGGAGGAGCACAGGCAGAAATCCAACGGTTTTCCCCATTTAAAAAAATCTTGCCTATCATAAGGGAAGGGAGGCATTATGGGCAAAACCCCGCCGTAACTGCCTTCAGAGCCTGACCCGGGGCTGGCCTCTCTCTGGCCCTCGGCCCAGCGTTCCGTGCCAGAGCACTTCCGAGGAGCAGTCCTGGGGACGCGCGCTGCTTGTGGACCCTGGGGGGCGGGCAGACCCTCCACGCTCGGCTTACCTCTCCCCGAGCCCTCTGAAACTGTTCCCGACGATGACCACCTTGGAGAGGGCGTCCACCGACCAGTTGCTCCACAGGAGGTTGTTGTACAGCGCCGTGCCACAGTGCGGCATGTAGAAGATGGTGGGCGCCCCGCGCACGCGCCGCTTCCCTTCCTGGGGGCGAGCACGCACGGGAGTGTGAGCGCTTCTTACAGCGAGGGGCAGGGAGGGCTCACCACACACACACACACACACGCGCGTGCGATGACCGTGTAGTTCTGTGAACCGGTGGGTGTGTTAAGGAACCTCCCGCGGTGGTCACTGTGCAGCACGCGTGTAGCACACTGCGCCCCTTACGCTCACGTTACCTGTCAATCATGGCAACACAGTTCGGGGGACGACGAGCTGAGAGGAAAGCAAACTTAAGCACAAAACGGGAAAACCCCCCCACTCCACTGCGTAGTAGTAACGTGAGTGATGTGCATGAAAGCTGTAAGACGACACGGGACAAAAAGGAGACTGTGACGGCGGGGAAGAACTCGTGTTCACTGGGCAGCTGTGTGTCCCATGAACACACAGAGCTCTGGGTCAGCGGAAGGGCCTCTTGGGTCTGTGACTGCACGGGCAGGAGGGGCGGCCATGGTTACTGTCCCCATGTCCTGGGTCTGGTGAGCCCCTGCTTCCAGTGGCACTTCCTCAGGTCCCTATCACGGAGCCCTTTTCAGATGCCCCATCTTGACAACTGCTGCTCTGCAGCCACACTGCTTGGCAAGGACACAAGGTCCTCTGCTGCCTGGCCTGGCCGCTCCTCTCTCCGCTGTCCTCGCAGCTTCCCTTCCATTAACAACGAACTGGCTGAGGTTCGGCTCCGCACAGGCTGCCTGCAGCCCTGGGCCTGCCCCTCCCACAAACTCCTGGTCAACCTTCAGATCCCAGCTCTGGCCCAGAAACCCTCCTCAGTCCCTCCAAACAAAGTTCTCGGAAATCTCAGTTCCTAGTGTGCGGCTCTGCCCCACCGTCTGATTCACCGTTTGCTTGTTTACAGGCTGGCTCCCATTTATCTCGCACTCCCCCAAGCTCCTTGCCTAGCACAGAGCAGGCACTCAGAAAAGATGATCAGAATTAAACGGCAGTGTTTTAGCAGCTTGCAAACAATTCCCTCGTCTCAGCTGGGCCTAATTTTCGTGTTTCATAATAAGCAATGAGATGGCAGTTTCTCAGAACAGAGAGGACTCAAATGATCGTAATCCCCAAGGCAAAACACAACTTAATTCAAAGGCATCGGCCCATACTGGCGTCAGCCCTCTGCTTGTGAAATTTTCTTTTTTCCAGGTCTCAAGAAATGTCAAATTCCAACTATTTTAGGGGATGCAGGGGTGGACAGAGGCGTCATCCACAGCCAGCCAGGTGCTGAGGGTGTGACTAAGCTACAGCTCCCAAGGGGAAGGACGTCCTGTCCCCTTTTATCACCTCCCTTGGAACAGAGTAATTCCGACCAGAAAGCCGTCATTTGATGCACTGAGACTCTGCGCCCTTTTAACATGTAACACTACCAGTCAACACCAACTCAGCATAATTTCGGGACACAGACTCATCAAAACCGTGTAACCCCAACGTGTTCTGGCTCACACCATTGGAGTAGTTTGCTTTTCTCTGGTGGGTACAACAGTCCAAGATGTGGGGAACTGGCCTTTCTCTAGCTCTCACACAGGACGCCGGGCCCACGACCTGGCTGCATGCGATGGTACTGGGAGAGCGGCAGGCGGTGGGACTGCCGTTCACAGGGAACCGGCTCCCACGGGCCAGAGGGTGGGCTCAGCTGGCCAGCAGTGACACAGCCCTCCCCACGCCCCTTTCCTAGACCACTCACCTCGTTCTCCCTGAGGACAATCACCCCAAGGGTGTTGAGAACTGCGATTTCAAGTTGGCTAAACAGAGGGTCATATACCCAGCAGTGACTTCTGGGAATCTGCAGGTGGGAAAGAGGAGTTATGTCAACCCAATGCCTGTGTGCACTCTTGTGTGCAAGGCCCAGGGAAGGGCGATAAAAGAGTCCAAAAATGTACCTGGCATTTTTCCAGGAAGAGAAGCAAAAATGTCAGCTGGTTTCGAGCTATGACGCAGGTGGCAAAGTTCCCAATGCCGTAACACACACACTTCCAGTTGCAGGTCCCCGTGACCTGGGTCTCTCCTGGGGTGGAGCCGGGGGCCACATCTGACTCACCCGGTGACGAGTTGAGGTGCAGCTCTCCAGTGGCTTCTGAAAGAGCCCCCACAGGGGCAGTCAGTTGCTCCAAGTGTTTCACAAGACACTTGTTGATGGTTTCTGAAAGAGCAGGCCCCCAGATGCAGTCAGAGAGCACGCCCAGACCCTGCAAAGCAAGTCATCCACAAAAGTCCCAGATCCAGGGAGAAAAGGTGTGGGGGGTAAGAGCTTCAACTCCTTAGAGAGAAGGGCTACCGGCTCCACTCGCACATGCCTGCCACGTGCAGCCGGGTCCAGCAGACGCGGCCCTCCAGGCCTCTGCACCCCCACAGCCTGCAACTTCAGAGAGGGTCTCAAGAAGAAATAGCTTTCATTTACAGGTTGTTTCCATCTAAACTTCTAATGTGAACTCATTCTAGTTTAACAGGAGGTCCTTGGTAAATGCCCTGAAATTCTGATTTTTTAAAAAGATTTTATTTTTAGAGAGGGGAAGGGAGAGATAAAGAGAGGGAAAGAAACACCACTGTGTGGTTGCCTCCAACTGAGGACCTGGCCAGAGATTCAGGCATGTGCCCTGACTGGGAATCAAAGCAGTGACTCTTAGGTTCATAGGCCAGCGTTCAATCTACTGAGCCATCCCAGCCAGGGTGGGAATAGGAAATATTTAATGTGTAAAAAGTTATACCATGTTTTCACCTGTATGTGGAATCTAATGAATAAACTGAATTAAAAAGCAAAATAGAGACAGTCATCGATACAGAGCAAGAAGACGGCTATGGGGGGTGGAAGGATGCAGCGAAAAGAAAAAAGGTCTCTTGGACGTGGACAGCAGTGTGGTGATCGCCAGGAAAGGGCATAAGGGCTTAAATGGCAGTACAAAAAAATGCAATAAAATTTTTTTTAAAAGGTAGGTTGAGGCTTCTAGAGTCTAATGAAAATATTCTCATTAAATCTCATATAGAGGTGGTTTCTCTTGCTTCTCCTTTTATATTTATACTGTTACTGAATTTAGCTGCACAAATCTGTATGCAAAAAAACCCCAGAGTGCTGTATGTTCCCACAAGAAGATACGAATTTTCACTTAGCAGCAGAGACACCTTTAAATAAGACCCTAGCAGGAAAGGTTGTGTGGTAAACTGGCTCTTTGAGTCCTTGCTGGTAAAAGACTTTTTGGAGAACAGCTAAACAATGGATATCAAGTTGACCACTCCCTTTTTCACCAGATAATTTCATCTCTGGGAATATATCCTAAAAAGATCACCCTAAACTTAAGAGCTTTATGCATAAAGGTGATCGCTGCAAACTAATGATAAAAAAAACCAATAAAGGAAACTAAATGTCCCTCAGTAAAAACTGTAAGTACTGTAAGTCCACTTCATGTGTTAATATTTAGGTTCCCACATGTGCCGTTTAGGAAGAGATGGTGGCTGCAAGGGGAAGGAGTGTACATTGTAATCTCAGGGGCAAAGAGCAGGACAATATTGGGTTGGCCAGAAAGTGCATCATTTTGTCCATACGATGGCTCTGGTAGTGGTTAGCTGTCTTTAACCTCACTTGAAATAATTTTGTTATATTGTGACAGCTGTCATATTTGCATGCATTAAAAAAAAAAAAACTTATCACCTGGCCAGGTAGCAGGTTGTCTCTGGTCAGCACACGTACACGAATCAACTAATGAGTGCATAATTAAGTGGAACAACAAATTGATGTCTTTCTCTTTAAAGAGAAAATCCACCTTTCTCTTTAAAATCAATAAAATTCTTTACAAATATATACAATTTTTAAAAAACTTAAAACGTGAATTTTTGTGCAGTCATTTTAATATTGAAGATGGAAGAAAATGCACATTTTCAGCATATTATGCTTTATTATTTCAAGAAAGGTAAAAACACAACTGAAACACAAACATGATTTGTGCAATGTATGGAGAAGGTGCTGTGACTGACTGAACATGTCAAAACTGGTTTGTGAAGTTTCTTGGTACTACTGACATTTTGGACAAATAATTCTTTGCCCTGGGGCTGTCTCATGCACTGGAAGATGTTTAGCAGCACATCTGGCCTCTGCCCACTAGAAGCCAATAGCAGGAGATAGCTGACACACTCGAAATATCCAAATCAATAAAGTTATTGGTGAAAATGAAAAATGTGTCTTTTATTTACGGAAAAACCGTAAGGGACCTTTTGGTCAACCCGGTACAAATTCCAATAGTAATGACAATGACAGCTAATACCCATTGCCTCCTGTGCGGTAGGCAGGAACTGTTCTGAGCACTTAACAGCCACTTTAATACTCAAAGTTACACTAGAGAGTATGCATTATCACCTCCATGTCACAGATAAAGAAGCCGAGGGTCAGAGTTAGTTAAGAAGCACAAACACAAAGCTGTACAGGCAAGTCCAAGTTAGAACCCAGAACGCACACTGCTCTGTGAAGCAAAATGTCATCAAATGAGGGTAGGATTCCTTTCTTTGACAAAATTCAGACCCTCTACCCACCCCTACCACCCTCAGTCTTGGCGAAGTGGTACTCACCTAATGCCAAACTCCAGAAATCGGAAATAAGCAGGTCTGCCCTGTTGGAAAAGAAAATGGTGTGATAATCTCCCATCCTTCTCTGGGCCAACGACCTAACAGTGACCCTCCTCCTGACCACACTCTGGATGTGCGGAGAGCGATGGAATGTCCTCAAACACAGAGCCACCCTCCAGTGACAGGAGGATAAGGTGAACCTGTGCAGAGCCAGAACACCTACTGCTGGGGCTCAGAAAGGGCAGCAGAGAGGGCTTCCTGGAGGAGGCCCCCAATTCCTGGGGGCAGCTCTGGGTCTGCTCCATAGCCTTGGTCCCACAACAGAGCTGGATTTGAATTGAAAAGCCACAAGCCACTGTTCAGGGGACTCAGAGAACAGACAGAATTGAAAAAAACACCCAATCTTGTGTTCCTCGCAGAGGGTGAAGGAGAGCTGGAATGTACAGGGAGTACTCTGTAAACTGGCCAATGTGTGCACAGGAGAACAACATGAAGAGGGCTGGGCTCCTCGCAGGGCAGTGGGGAATGCACTGCACTTGGGGGTGCAGGTAGAAATGGGGAGCTCCCAGGGGGATACTGAAGAAGTTGAGGAGGAGTAACAACATCGCAATAAATGCAAAGTGCCTTAAGAATTCTCCAAAGCCCTAGGCGCCCCATTCTCCTTGGCATCTTCAGATCCTAGAAACAGTCCCTGCTGCATTTTTTTCTCTGGCTCAATAGCTGGTCAGCCTGCTTTCTGCTTAGTGGTAACCTCTGAGTCACCACCATCTCTTGACCCTAATTCCCAGGGAGGGGAGCATATAAACTTTCTTTCAGTTGTGAAGATCCTTTAGCTGTTATCTGAAAAGGTGCCAATGAAAGCTGTTATTTAGTGAGCCCCTGAAGGACCACAAACAAAAAAAGGCAGTAATACGAAATGGCAAGAGTAGGTAACGTTTACTGAGTGTTTCTATTCTAAGTGCGATCTAAGATACAGAGCAAGGCATGGAGGGATGGGGACTGGGATAAACCAGAATAATAATGGAGTACTTTGAAAAACAGGTTTTGGAGAGCCAAAGCAGTGGGTCTGAAATTTGGTTCCATACACTGTCTATGTCTTTTTAAAACTCCACGCCAACAGGATCCCAGCAAGGCTGAGTTGTTCAAACTGATGGGGTATGGAGAATGCTCAAGCCAGTACCACTTAGCAGTTCAATGAACTACTAATGATAATTACGTGTTTGTGTTGTTTCCCCAGCGTTAGCAACAACTAATGGCATTCGCATTACATCAACAGCAAACACTGGTAATGCGTTTACGACGCGCAGTGTGAAGGCACTATTCGAAATGGTTTACATTTACCGATTCATTGAATACTCAAAACAAGCCTACCGGTACTCTTTGCACGCCCAACTCACAGATGAGCAAACCGAGGCACAGAGGTGACATAACTTGCCCAAAGGTGACGCAGCTATAATTGCAGTAAGAGGAATGAAAACTTTTATTGAGCGCCTACTACAATCCAGTCGGCATTGAGCTCTTAACCACCGTGAAATCCTCACAATAACCCCAGGTTTGCGCCTGCTCTCACTTTACAGATGGCAAGACTGAGGCTCGGAGAGATTCCCACAGGCGTGAAGATTCGGGCTCAGGGCAGACCCGGCACTCACTCGGTCTCCCGGATGCGACGAAGCACGACTCCACAGTCCAGCTCCGGCTCCGCCTCCGGGCTCGGGGCCGCCACCGCTTCCTGGGGCCGCGGACGCCGAGCCGCAGAGCGCCTTCTTCGCGGAGCGACACACTGCCAGGGTTCCAGCGCCGCCGCCGCCATTGGCCTCTGACGTCGTGGGAGCGCGGCGCTCTCGGCTACGTCATCGCCGCGCGCCAGCGCCGCGGAACTTTTAGGGGGCGGGAGGCGCGGTTGGCGCGTGACGCTGGGCCTCTCCGCCGCGCGCGTAGGTACTTGGGGGAAGTTGCTGGCGTCCCGCTACGGCCCATGCTTCGAACCCCGGTCCTCGGACTACCTTGGCTATTCTGGCGGGTGGGCAGCGCTGGGACGCTGTGGGGAGGGTCCGCGTCCAAGAGCGCCTCGTGGCGGCCTCTGCTCCATGATCGGGTTCAGATCGATCCCTGCGCCTTTGCCCAGCAATTCCCAGCCCCCTGGCGCTGAGGCCAAACATTTCCCACTGTCGTCGACAGTGACCGATCGCTTCCTAGCCCTTTGCAGTCTCTAGCGTCCTTTTCTCTGTGTACCTGACCCACTGAGGCCACTTCCTACACCTCCACGACTACCACCACCCTGGGGGCATTGCCGGCCACTCTGGACTTCCCTGTGTCTTTACTACCACTTCCCAGGCTGTCAGAGCCTTCTGCGGTCACATTCCATCCCGTGCCCTACCGCAGGGCCATTACCGGCCTCTTCTGGACCTTTCAGAGATAACAGAGTGGACTGGGAAGTGTGGGGCCCAGTACCCTTGGAACAAGGGCTAGGGGGTGTCAGGCTGCTGTTGTGGGTTCTGAAAGCTTAGATGCGTCTCCACAGGCACCCAAATATGCTTCAGAGAATATCATGAGTGTGATTCTGTGGAGGCTCACCCCAAGATATCGAGAGTTTAGAAAACATTATGTAGACCATCGAAGATTCAGAGGGGGCCTTTCTAGGGACTTCTTCACTCTACCAAAGGAGCTTTAGAAACCTCTATTCTGCTCCCAGGAGGATGCCAGATGGCAAGCAAGCATTTGAAACCATGTCCCTGGGGACATTAATCTTGGAGAAAATGACAATAGGGATATAATAGAGACCTTTTGGTCTTGTGGAAGGTTGTCTTGTGGAAGGATTAGAACTCATTTAATTTGCCTGGAGAGTGTTACGAAGACTATTGTGTGGCTGTTGCTGGGAAGCCAGTTTTAGCTTGGTGGAAGGATAAAGTTAACACTATGAATTGCTTGTGCCCAGGGAGTATGCCAGGTCAGTTTTGAAGGAAGTACAAGAGATAAGGATTGGAGTAAATGATACCAGGGTGTATATGTGTTCAGACTCTGAAATCCCCTGATAGTCTGAGTTGTCTTCTTGTGGGAGTTTAAAAGTCATTTGTTAAGTTCTCATCATGTCTTTTTTAAAACAAGATTTTATTTCTTTTTAGAGAGAGGGGCAGGGAGGGAGAAAGGAGAGAAACAGCCATCTGTTCCCTCTTGGATGCGCCCCAACCAGGGACCCAGCCTGCAGCCCAGGCTTGAACCGCGCCTGGGAATCGAACCGACAACTTTTGCTTTGTGGGATGGCACCCAGACTCCTGAGCCGCACCAGTCAGGGCAAATTCTCACTATGTCTTTTGGAAACTTACCCAGCTCTGGAATTCTGCATGTTCAGATAACTGTGGGGCTGTCAAGGTGACAGTTCCTTATAATTTGAGTTCCATTATTACTACAGCAACTGTCTTTTTTTGTAGAGCTGTCCTTGACTCCCAGAGCTTCTTCACCCTATTTTTCTTCTGTGAGACATCGCTGTTCTAGAATCTAAGGGATTTGATGTCCTGCCACCCTCTCTTTTTTTATTTTGAAACTATTTTTGACTTTCTAGAAAGCTCTTTTGAAGTGTACCATTTGCTTAACCATGCTGGGTCACATGTTCCCTTGTGGGTTTCTGAGATAATCTATTCCTTGTGTTTATTTTAGGTCTAAGGCACTGATGTTTGAACAGGAAGCTTCAAAACTTTTTAAAGAAACTTCAGAATGGCTTTGAACCACACAAGCTAGAAATCGCCCCGGAACACCACCTTCAGCATGCGTCTCCCCTGTTGGGCTTTCCTGGCGAGCTTTTTGAAGCCGTCCTTCTGCGGAGAGCCAGAGAGCTGATGGTCACCAAAGGAGATTAGTGGATCCGACTCTCCTGGCAGAATTCTCTTGCTTTATCACATTCTTTCCCAGGGTTCTAAGAGGCATGGAGGTATTCATGGAACTGAAAGGCTTGCTAGGAGGGAAGTAGCACTTTCATGTGGAATGAAAACTAAGCAAGCGACAGTTGTGACTGAAAGCACTTAAGCCTCCCACGTCCTGATGCACATGATTGGGGACACAGAGAAACGGTCACTGCTGGGAGAGAGAAGCCATAACTGGACAAGAAACCCCAATAAAGAGGATGAGGGTGACTGGAAAGTAAATGGCTGCCTCCACCTCAACAGAGACGAAGTCAGCTTCATGGTGAGTAGCGAGGCCTGCTGTGGTTTGGTTCCTGCCAGGCAGCTGGACGGATATTTTGGGCTAACTGAAAACCCCCCGCCAGATTGTTTTGATTTTATTAAGGGGGAACAAAGCCATTTTCTTCAGAGCAGCTGGATCAAACATGTGAGCCTTTCCTCACCCAAACTAACATGCTCTAACCTTGTGAGCTGCTTGCAGGGTTCGAACAAGTCCAGCATTGCTGGTAGATTATAGAGAAACTAATTGTGCATCTGGCTTTGATCACACGGGTGGTGGAGTCTTCACTTTTGCAAGATAAGACATGGTTGCACTGCAGAATTACCCCATGAGAGGTTTGGCCAGGCTTCAGTTTGGCCCTTAAAAGTGTTACACAACGCCTGCCTGCAACTCTGCTCCCTTCTCAACCCCACACGGGTTAAGCCTCTCTTATGATTTGGTTCAGCGCACAGTTAATGGGGGAGATAAAAGTGAAAAGCCTGGTTTAAATAGACTGAGCAGGGTTAGCGCCCAACACTGTGTGTGGAAGGCAAACAGATGGACCAGTTCAAAGCGACACCCACGTCTTCTTGTGTGTGCTCGGACGAGTCGGGGAGCTTTTACCCCAAGACCTTAGGAAAGGGTAGCATGGGGCCCAGCAGTGCGGTTTCTAAGTTGAGTTTGAAACGTTTTTGAGGCTTTTTGATCTAGACCTTCCCTGAAGCCAGCTGCACGTAGGGAACTGAGGAAAGCGGACTGTACTGGCAACTGCGTTAGTGCTCGTCACCAGAAGATGCAGTGGGAGCCAGAGAGGGAGATAGGGGAGCCCGGGGAGGAGTGCGCGGGTGATGGCAGAGTGGGCACAGCCCCTCCTTAGGCTGCAGCCTCGAGGGTGGGCTCTCGGAGGATCAGAAGTAAAATTCAGGTCCAGCCTTTGTGGAGTTTGCCTCGAGGTCTTGAAGAGGCTATTATTATTCTGTCTTGGCACAGGCCAGAGGGCTTCAGGGAAGACAGAGAATTAGGGAACCAAGAAGAGAGATTCCTGCGGAGATCAGAAGTTTGATGAGGGATCGTGTTTGAGTTACCCTCCTAAGGTGTCGATAGGCAAAGAGGGGTTCGGAGCTTCTCTGTGACTTGAAAGGACCCCCCTTTTTTCTTCCATAGACTCACGTCATGCACCGAAATAGGCAGGTCACTCCCTGCCACCCTGTTTTCGCTGGGGCCTCATTGTACACTGGGCTCGGTCACGTTTGTTAAATGAATCCATAAGTTCTTGGCAGAGGGGACATTTTGGGAGATCATTGTGCCCAATGTTGTGAGGAGTGCATCTGAGACATTCCTAACTTACTTTGATATCAGGGCCTGAAAATACAGTTACGGAGCCACGAGCATACATGGTTAAGGTGTGTGTCTCAAAGGAGTGGCGGCGTTGCGGGCGCTTTGTCTTTCCTTAGCTGTCCGTCTGTCTTTCACACAGATGGTTGGACGGCTGGGGAGAGGCATGTTTCCAGTTAGACTCAGCTCCACTTAGGAAATGGTTTTCATCTATTCGTAGCCACTGGGTTCTTTCTCTTCTGGCTTTGCAAACCCTGGGTAATGAACTCTAGGCGGGCTGGGAAACAGGAAGCTGTGCCTTCAAACGCCCTGGTTGCTGGATGAGAGGAAACACTGCTCCGCTCTGTTGTCTCGCCAGGTGGAATTACTTTTTCCTTTACGATGGTTCAAAGGTGAAGGAAGAAGGGGACCCAACAAGAGCTGGCATCTGTTATTTTTATCCTGCTCAGGTAAGCCCCACAGCTTGTGATGTTTTTGTGGGAATTCACGGAACACATTATGCCTCGAGCGGTGAGTTTGCAAAAGTGGTTTTCATCAGCTAATCCAGGCAATTGCTGTTTCTGCTCTCTTGTACTTACTTGTACTATTTCTCGTTGCTCTGGTCTTAAAATTCCCAGGCAGCTCGGTACTTCCATCTTCATTAGCTCTCCGTTACCTTCATGATTTTCTCTCTGCCTCCATTGCTTCCAATTTTGGGTCAGCTCATTAACAAAAACAACTTTTACTCAACCCTGCAGAGAAGTAGAGAGGACAGTGTCGTGAGCCCTCGTACCTGTCCCCCTCTCTGACAGTTGTCAACACTCTCAGCTGTACACGGCCTCACCCAACCGCTCTCTTCTCCTTTGCCTTTTCTTTTTTAATGGAGTATTTCGAAGCAAATCCTGGGTATTGTGTCGTCCCACCTGTATCAAATAACATCTTTAACTGAAAAAGGACTTTTTGTTTTAACGTCACACCCAACAAAAGCAACAATAATTAGTAACAATGTTTCCTTCATATCATATAGGGTAGTGTCTATATTCAGATTTTGCTTTAATATCTTAGATGTTTCCTTTTTAATTTAATTCATATATTTATTTTAGATTTTATTTATTTTTCTTTAGAAGGGAAGGGAAGGAGAGAGGGAGAGAAATATCAATGTATGGTTGCCTCCCATGCGTCCCCTGCTGGGAACTGGCCTGCAGCCCAGGCATGTGCCCTGACTGGGAATCAGACCTCGATCCTTTGGTTCTCAGGCCCGTGCTCAGTCCACTGAGCTGCACCAGCCAGGGCCTATCGTAGATGTTTCTTAGGTCTTCCTTCCTTTATTCTTTCCTTCCTTCCCCTTTTCTCTTTTTCCTAGTCAGGACCCAAACTAAGTTCCCAATTCCATTTGGTTACTGGTGTGTTAAGTGCCTCTGACTGGGTAACAGTCCTCACCCACCCGCCCTTTTTCCCCTTCTGCTGCTGAGTTACTGAAGAAACCGGGTCATTGGTGCAGCAGAGCGTGGGCATGTCCCACACTCTGGGTTGGGTGGTGACTTCCTCTCCTGCTGTCACTTAATGTCTTCTGACCACTGTATTTCCTTTAAACTAGTAGTAAGACCTGGGCAGGGGCTTCCAACATTTTGGCCACACTGGAAGAAGAGTTGTCTTGGGCCACACATAAAATACATTGCAACTTATAATCACACAAAAAATCTGAAAATGTTTTAAGTAAATATATGGTTTTGTCTTGGGCCGCATTCACAGCCATCCTGGGATGCAGGTGGGACACCTCTGAATTGTAGGGCCTCGGCTAGGTTCAAGTTTACTTCTTTGAGGCAAGAATTCTTCACAGGGGGTGTGTACATTTTCTGTCCATCACAGAATGTCTGGCTGCCCCACAGTTGAGTTAATGCTCCCGTGGATTAGAAGGTCAGTAAGTGTGCTCACGTGGTTCCCCTGGGACGGGGCTGATAGGGATTCATCGGGGCTGCTCTGCCGCTCTTCTGGGGTTTGGATAGATGCACGAAAGGCTCGGGCCTCTGCCCCCGCGTGCAGGTCAGATTAAGTTACAGGATGTAATCCTGGGATCATCTTCCGTGTTCACTGTGCGTATTCCATGACAGTTCAGTCATCCCAGGCAGGGACCCACCAACTGGGCCTAAAAAAGCTAAAGTAACTACTTTAGGCTTCACTCCAGGTCTTTGTCATATGTCCTTCTTTGTCGTTGTTTCGACAACCCTTCAAAGGGCCATTCTTAGTTCATGGGTCACATAAAAACCGGCAGCCGTCTAGTTCTGGCCTGCAGGCCCTACTCGCTCCAAGGCGTGGCAGAGGGCAGCTGTGTCAGCTTCCTGCCTGGGACCTGCTTCTTTCCCGTAGACCCTGCTTGACCAACAGGAGTTGCTCTGTGGGCAGATTGCCGGCGTGGCGCGCTGCATCTCTGACATCTCTGGCTCTCCGCCCGCGCTCATCCGACTGCGGAAACTGAAGTTCGCCATCAAGGTTGACGGAGATTACCTCTGGGTAAGTGGAACAGGCAGAAGCAGTGCCTCTGTCATGAGTCACTTGTCTAGGCAATAGGTGTCGTGACGGTGAGGTTTAGAAAGTAGTTTCTAGGGCTCTCGAGCCTAGACTGTCCACAGTCCTCTGCCGTGTCCAGGATCCACAATCCCCTGCCACTCCCTGCAGGAGCCCGTCGGGACTGAGTGGGCTGCACAGCACCGTGTGGGGCTGGTTTCTCCTCCCCTTTGGAAGACTTCAGCAGGCCTGCCGAAACTCTTCATTCTGTGATGCAAATTGAGTTTTTAACCTCCATCTTTTCTTCTTTGTACTCTTTATACTGCCACACTCTTACTGGGTCAGTGACTCTAAGACATTGACGCATGTATGTCAGATTTCAAAGAACAATTAAGAAAAAAGTAAACACCATATATTTACAGCTAGTAGTACCGTGTGCCCTGAAGTGCTATTTGCCTGTACCTACACTTATTTTAAACTGTACCTGAGCAGAAGGGATGTTTATGTGTAAGGAAGTATATTCAGCTTTGTAGGTGTTATTTCAACATTTTATTATGAATTTTTTCTAACACACTGAACAGTCAAGAGAAGTTTACAGTGAATACTCGTGCAGTTGACCCTTGAATACCACGGGCTTGTACTCAGTGGGTCCACTTATGTGTGGGTTTTTCTCAGTAAATACAGTAAGTGTATTTTTCTTATGATTTTCTTAGTAATACTTTGTTTCCTCTGTTAGCTTACTCTGTTGTAAGAATACGGAATATACGGTAACACACACAATATAGAAAATATGTGGTACTTGACAGTTTATGTTATTGGTGAGGCTTCTAGTAAACAGTAGGCCATTAGCAGTCAAGTTTGGGGGAGTCCAAAGTTGCATGCAGATCTTTGAGTGCAGGGTACCAGCACCCTTCACCCCAAGTTGTTTAGGAGTCAACTGTACCTCCCGGATCCCGTCACGGGCGTCGTGTTACATTTGCTTTGTCCCATATCTGCTCGTCCTTTATCTTCTTATATATCCAGTTTTTGTTTCATTGCTTTTCCAGCTGTGCACGTTAGTGGACTCCTCCCTGGCTCCCCGGCCTTCATCATTCATGATGTTCACTAGAGTTCAGTATTTGCTTGTGGTTCTTTTTTCTTTTGAGGTAAAATTTACATGTGATGAAATACACAAATCCTGAGTGTGCCCCGTGGTGCATTTGGACACATGATGCAGCTGGCCCCAGAATACAGGATATCGGCATCACTCCAGAACGCGAGCGTATCAGCCTGCCTCTTCAGTCTCCGTTCTGTGGACACGTGAACTGTGTCCCGTTCCGGGCCGTTACGAAAAGGCCCCTAGGAACTCTCCTATATGAGTCTTTTCAGTGGACATGAGTTTGCACTTCTCGTGGTAGACATCTATGTGTGGAATGGCCGGGTTATGGGGTAGAAGTATGTTGATTTCTATGAGAAAGTGCCAGCCCTTTACCCGAAGTGATTGTATCATTGTACATTCTCACCAACAGCGTATGAGATTCCATTTACCGGACTCCGCATCCTCACCAACACGGTGGCGTTGGTCTGTTTAATTTTAGCCTTTCTGCTGGGAGTGTGGTGGAAGCGCATCGTGGTTTTAATTTGCATTTCCCTAATGACTAGTGATGTTAAGGCTTTTGCTCCAGGCCATTTGTGTATCTTCTTATGAGACTTGACTGTCGGAAGTTTTTGTCTGTTTTTTAAATTGGGTTTCCTTTTTCTATTGAGTTGTAGGAGTTTTATATAACTATCTGTCTCTCTTGGTCAAAGGTCAGGTGACCGCTTAGTGTTGGGCCCACTTCCGGGCTGTCTGTTCTTTTCCGTGGATCTGCCTGAAGGTCTCGGTGGTAGACTACGCTGTCTTGAAGTCAAGGAGTGTGAGTCCCCAACCGTTCTCTTTTCCAAGCTAGCTTTGGACACCTGAGATCCTGTGTGTTTCCGTCATAGAATCAGTTTGTCATTTCTAAACAGAAGCTGGTGGGATTACGATCAGAATTGCATTCGCTCTGTGGATCACCTGGGGAAGGAGTTAGCATTTGCACTCTGCGCCAGAGTGCTGTGAACTCGTGGGTTGCACCACTGGAGACAGCAAAGATCCTTGCCTCTGTGGGGCTTACATTCATAGGGAATTTTAAATCTCTTTCCTGTCGGGGTTTGTTAGTTTGCTCAACTTTCTGATGATTCCCTTAGGAAAGAATCTTGAGGTAGAATTTCTGAGTCAGAGAATGTGAACTTTCTCAGGCTCTTTAAACAGACAGCCAGATTGCTTTCTAACTGAGCAGGGACTTACCTTGCATGGAACCCCACGCTCTGCCGTGCCTGGAGCTGTAGACCATGGGATGAGGCAGTGTCTGTCCTCAGAGCTTTCTGTCGAGGCCGGGGGTGGGACGGCTGCTCGGGAAGCAGTCTGAGCCCAGGCTGCGGCAAAACCCACGTTAAACATTCAGCGTCCAAATACCAGGCCTAACAGTGCAAGGTTCCAAAAAGAGGCCGGCGTTGGCTGGAGTGATCAGAACAAGCGTCAGGAGGTGCTAGGACCTCTGATGGGCACTGAAGGGCATGGGAGGGCCCTGGGCACATGAACAGGAAGGAGGGCATTTCTGGTCGGGCGGCACGAGCACTTCGTTCTCTGTGGGGACCAGCGCGGCCAGGGCAGAGGGTGTGGGGCTGGGCAGTGTGTCTGTGTCCGTGGGCCGTGAAGTCAGTCTGCAGCGCGCCCCAAGTGCCACACTCAGGCCTGCACCCGGAGGGGGGAAATGCCTGTGTCCCTGGCTCCCTCCTCACAGGTGCTGGGCTGTGCTGTGGAGCTCCCTGATGGCAGCTGCCGGCAGTTTCTGGACCAGCTGATTGGATTTTTTAATTTCTACAATGGACCCGTTTCTCTGGCTTACAAGGTAGGAGAGCGGCGTCGAGGAGTCTGGACGTGGGGCCCCTGAGCAAGGCCTGTGTTGCCAGGACACAGCACTGACTCTGGGGTCTGTTACACTCTGCATGACCGCACTGTGCCCAGCAACAAGGTCAAGGGCTCCTGGAGCCGCTCTCAGGTGCCTCCATTTCCCAGTGGCATAGGTCACATTCACTCCAAAGTGTTTCTCTCCATCTCTCCCCTCCCCCAACCAGTGCCTCCAGGTTGTGATAACCTCCAGGTAGGTTATCAGGGTAGGAGCTTGGGAGACCGTGTGTTTATAGGAGTTCAGAACAGACCCTCCCTTCCCCCAGTTTCCTGTGTGAGGAACAGTCTTTGTGGTTGTTGGCATCCGAAGCGCATCCCTCAGAATCTCAGGTGCTGACCGCAGGCCGGTTCTGTTTCAGAACCGTTCCCGGGAGGAGCTGAGCGCCGAGTGGAACACCTTCATTGAACAGATCCTGAAAAACACCAGTAATCTGCATAAGATATTCACTTCCCTCTGGAACCTGGACCAAACCAAGGTAACATCCTCCCCTTTCTCGTTTCACGTGTAGGAACAGAGCTTCTGGACACTCTTCTTTCCCCTTTAATGAACTGTGTACGGACAGAGGGGACTGGAATGTAGCATTTCTCTGTTGGGGTGTTAAGGCCTGTACTGGATCCCCCGGTGCTGCCCACCGTGGGCCGGGGCAAGTGGGCCACCTCCAGCGGCCAGGCTTCCTACCCAGGAGGCGGAGCCGTGACAGCGCCTCCCAGACTGTCGTGGCAGTGAAATGAGACAGTCCCTAATGACACAGAGTGAATACTCAGTAAGGGTGTGGTTATTATGTTGCTAATGCCCCAGAAATGGGGAACTCGGTAATCTTAGAGTCCCCTTCTTCATCGATGTACTTAGTGTACGATTTAATCTGAAAGTGCCCATCTCACTTGATATTATGGTGTGATTTTCATTAATCTGGACATTAAAAGCGCCCAGGGCTAACTTTTTAAAAACAAGGTTGCCACATCTGGGAGAGAGTGGCTGGGAAGTGCTGTGTCCCCTTGAGCCTCCACCCACCGTGGGCATTCAGTGAGACGTGGGCTGCCCGTGCGGCAGGCCTGACCACCTGTGCCACCTGTCGCTCTGTGGCCTTGATCCGAGGTGGACACCACATCTTCATGGTCTGGCATTTTAGGGACTTTGGGCAACTAGCTCCTTACAAGGAATGTGGCACCGATGTGCCTCCCTGAGAGAGAGCATGATGTTCCTCTTTTATGTTGTGGAGTGACAGGGCCTGGTCAGACGTCAGGTGGCTGTGTCACGGGGGGCTTGTGCATCAGAGAGAGGGTAGGGGCGGGCTTTACCCAGTGCCACGACCTGCTGAGACCTGCTGAGACCTGCAGGCCTCCTCTCCTGCTGCCTGCTGGTCTCAGCTCTGATGGGCGGGGTCTCCTGGCGACATATGTTGTCCCGTGTGAGTAGCCACGGGCCCTATTCACTGAGCCTTCCAGCTTCTGGAGAGGCCTCCTTATTCCGAGGATTTGGTGTGGTGTCCTGGGAGTAGAGAGTTCTGGGTATAGAGAGGACACAGATGTTGTTACCTGTGACGTGGTCTCCTTTTCCAGGCTTTGGGTTACGACCTGTCCCCGCGTTGTACAAACCCCCATTCCCCTTCCCTCCCTGCTGATGGTAAGCGAGGCATGCTTCCTGCCCCACACAGGTGGACCCCCTGCTCCTGCTGAAAGCGGCGCTCATCCTGCAGACCTGCCAGCGCTCCCCTCACGTTCTGGCCGGCTGCATCCTCTATAAAGGCCTGTGAGTAACGCCAGATGCCCTCCTCCACCCCCGGCCCTGCCGCGGACCTGACTGTCCAGATCGAGAGCAGGAGCTTTGCCTCGGGCCCACTCCGGGTGGGCTGGTTTGGCAAGTGTCAGGTAGTTTAGATGTGATCTGGGGCACTGCCTGTCTTTGAGCGAAGCTGGGAAATGGGAACCTTTCATGTCCAGAAAAGAGGAATAGAAAATGTAGGCTTAAAGAGATCCCTATAATTCTCAGGATGGGGCATGCCTTAACAGTCGTTGGTCTGCATAACGCACACGCAAGGCCCCCAAGGCCACCAACCAGGACGGTGAGTAAGGGGGCAGAAACCTGCTGTGGCCTTCCTCCCACCGCTCTGCTTGGCCAAGCAGCCTTAGTGCTTCTGCTCAGGCTCCCGCCGGCCTCTTGGCTGGATCCATTTCTTGGTTGGCCTCTGAGACCAGTCTGCAGCTCACCACACACCAGGAGGGCCTCTTCATGAGCCGAGTGCCTAAGAGGCACGCGTCTCCCGAGGCCCCTCTCCCAGGGGTGGGCAGGGCTGGTGCTCAGTGCCTGGAACTCCGGCCGTCAGAGGAAATGTGTGAAGAGGAACTCCCAGGCCCCTCGGCGACTCGGGTCTTACAGGCTGTGTTCCCAGTCCCGGCTTCCCTTCCCACCAGCCCTGTGACCTTGGGCAACTGCTGGATCTGTGTTTTTTCTTCTGGGAAGTTGAGATAGTTTATGGACAGTGAAATGAGGTGACAGACAGAGGACCAGGCATTGTCCCTGGGTCCCCATAGCCCTCCACACATGCCTTTCCCCCGTCCTCACTCCGACGGTTCTGAATCAGCCTCCCGGCTCCCTGTGACCTGGCTGGCAAAGGTGGTATGTTTTTTCCTTTTCATACTTTGTATTTACTTCTTATTTCCAAATTACACACCGAATGCATGAACACATTCTCACTGTAAAAAAAATGAACCCAGAGAGGAGCACACAGCACAGTTGAGAAGTTCCCCTCCACTCTCCTCACCCTCTGCCCATCCCGCAGTTGGCACTGGGGGAGCAGCCGCCTCTGTCCTGCCCTGTGTTTTCATACCTGTACGTACACACACGTGTGGGTTCTGTTTGGCTGTGCTCTCTGTGTGAATGGGATCCCATGGCCTGTCCGCTCCCTGCAGATGGGGGGTGGGGCCTACGGCCTCTGCCGGCCCACCTCGCGGGAGCTGCTTGTTGCTTGGTGTCACTGCTGTGCTTGATTAATTTAGCTCTTCCCTTCTTGATGCGAGTTTACATTGTTTTCCCATTGTTTCCAACGATTTTACCTTTTCCCCTGTAATAGGTAGTCTTCTGCATACTTCTTGGTACAAGCCAGGTCAAAGGGTTTGGGCGTTTAGGATTTTGATAGAAGTTGCCAGAGTTCCCTCCATGAGGGCATCACCAGTTGACACTTCCACCAGCTGTGTCCCCAAGATCCTGGCCAACGAGGGACGTTAGGAATCTTTTCAGTTAGAGTCCTGCGGTGTATTTCTTTTTCTCACACCGTCCTCATTCCTGTGTCTGACCTTAAGGATCGTCAGCACCCAGCTGCCACCGTCTCTCACGGCCAAGGTCCTGCTTCATCAAGCTGCATCTCGGGACCAGGTACGTAAAGCCCATGCGCCAGGCCGCCGCTGGCGAGGCTGAGCCCGGTGCTAGAAGGATGGGGGTGGCCGTGGGGGTGCTTGTTTCCCTTCGTCTTGTCTTCACCCCGGGCCTGGCACCGTGATGGGCCTCGAGGGCGAATTCCCCAGCAGGGCTGAGAAATCGCTCCTTCCCGCGTGGTGGACCTGGATGGCTGGTTTTCCTTCCATCCTGGGCGACTCTGAGAATCGGACTTCCCGCCAGGATGGGCCTCGTGTCAGGGAGCAGGTGGCCCTTCAGAGGCGCTGAAGGGTGACGTGGGGAGTCGGGAACTTTTACGGCGCAGCCCCCATGTGTTCGTCAGTTTTCAGGATGGGAAGCACCGAGCGTGCTCCCTGAGGGCACAGCCGTCCGTGGTAGAACCGCACAGTGAGCGTTGCAGTCCCGCCTCCAGTCCTCTCTCTTTCCAGTCACCTGCTCACTCAGCCCGTGAAGTCGCAGGTCTGCATGTGCCGTCAGGCGAGCTCTTCGCACTTCCCGAGTCAGTAGACACCGAGAACGATGGCGGGCCTCTCGCACCCCGGGCCACGGCATCTGCAGAACCGCCTTTCCCGCAAACTGCCTGAGCAGCGGGTTAAGGACGCCCGTGCCTCGCTCCCTCGTAACTCAGCTTCCAGGGTTCGGTCTAAGGCAGTTGTCTACCTGCTGAAGAAGGTTTATGCTCACAACTCGATCATGACAGGCTTAGTGAAGGTAGAAAGCCAGGTCTGAAATGTCTGAGGCAGGGCTTGGCACAGCCACCTGCAGAGAAGGTCTCGCCGGCCTGCTCTCGTGTCGCCACGGTGGGCGGCTGGTTGCAACAGACGTGGCGTAGCCTGCGGAGCCGAAGGTGCTTGCTCTGCCCTGTGCAGAGAAGGTGGCCTTCTTTGCTGGTCTAAGGCAGGGAAGGGACCCAGGCACCTACGTCGTTTTAAACTGCACGCAGTTTTACTCAGCCGTTCACAATGGCCAAAGACGTTCTAATGACAGGACTTGTATGTTACTATTTAAGTCCCAAAGTAGGGTTTTGTGTTCTCCTCCTTTATAAAACAGGATTTTATATAAAGTACTAAAAATGGGTAAGCTTAAAAGAAAACTCGCCTAATAATTGTAGCATTAGCTGGTGGGTGAGGGCATTACATGTGATTTTTTTTAAACGAATTTTTGTCTAGAGTAAGCTTCATTAGAGAAGGAAAGCCCTGTTGTTCCGTAGGGGTGGGAGTCGTTTTAGCTAGAAGAGCAGTTCTGGTTTTGCGTGGCTGTGTCCTGCTGGAGCCTTTGAGTTGGGAAGGCCAGAGAGCTCTTTTGAGAAAATCCCCAGGTTTCTCGTCTTGATCATGAATCCAGGTAAACCCGGGAGATCTAGCATAGTGTCTCATTCGGGTCTAACCCTTTACCAGGAGAAGCACAGGACTCTCAGGTCTTAGTTACCATGGAATTCGTGTGAGTTCTGTGTCAGGGCTGTGGCAAAGGAAGCTGTGTTCTGGAGGGCACGTTCTCGAAGCATGGGAGAGAACGTGAATCCCTCTTTTGTCCCTGGAGGGAGAAACTGGGGAACCAGAACGTAAACCCTGCTGTGCGTGGGTGGAGTAGCTGCCCCATAGCCGGGGGAAGCCCAGGTTCTCGCCTGCGCCCGCTGTAGTGGTGAGTGAGGAGGCAGCTTGGGGAGCCGCTCTTCCGCCTGCTTCACTGTGGGCACGTGGTGGGGACAGGAGCTCTGGGACAGACTCATTTTATGAGCAGATGGCCCAGCTCAGGCCTGACGGCCAGGTCAGGAGGGGGACGTGGCACCCAGCACCAACTTCTGTGTGTTTCTTTTCAGAGGACGCCTGCAGGAGACGCTGCCCGGCAGGAGCGTGGTAAGTAGAGAGGCGTGCAGTGCAGCAGGGAGTGCGGCCTTTCCTGCCCTGTCCTGTGGCCACATGTGGCTGCCGCAGCTGCACGGAAGGTTAGGGAGGTGCACAGAGGCTCAGGCGCAGAGTCAGCCGTCGAAGTCCTAAGTGTGAATGTGGCTCACGATTTTAGGCACACATGTTTTAAAAGTTAAACTCACGGGTAACTGGTTAATGACGCCAGCCACTGGTCAGTAGCCATGGTGGTAAGCGCCAGCTCCGCAGTAGAGAGCGCACTGCCTTGTGTGCTCACACCGGTTCACCCCTCAGCCCCTCCCTAACTGGCTGGGACAGGCTTCTCAGACCAGGCCCAGGGAGCCTGGCCAGGGGACGGGGAGACTAATGCAGGCGCCGCGAAGGCCTCGTGTGGTGTGGGGACGCATCCCCAGGGGGCTGTGTTGCTTTATTTGAAGCCTAGCTCGGGTCACGTCCCTTTGTCCGTTGGAGCTGCTTTTTTCCCAGTTCACGTCTTTTTTGTGTAAGTGCCACATGCCTTCTTCCACCACTGGTCACCCTTCTCCGCGGCGGGGGCGGGGTGCCCACAGGGCTCTCCTGCTGGTTGTGGGCGTCGAGGCTGAGGTTTTGTGCGCTGGCTCTGGGCCGAGGAGCCCGTCGCAGGTCTGCTCGCTGCGCTGGCAGGTGGGGCGCCTGCACCACCCCGAGAGCCGTCACTGCTGTCTCCCTCCTCTGGTCCAGGGGAGGCCCCATCCACGTCCCTTTGTGATTCCAGGAGCGGCCCTGCCCCCGAACGTGCACGTCCTGCCCGTGTTCGTGACGGAAGAGGAGGCCGTCAGTCTCCACGGGTTCCCGGGGGAGCACGTGACTAGGTGAGGGAGCACGGGGTTGCTCTTAAACCACACTTCAGGGGCTCCCTCCCGTGGCTTCCTCCACTCGAGCCCGGCACACCCCGTCCTTCCTGAACCCCACCTTCTGTGTGCTCTGGCCTGGGAGGGGCTTCTGGAACCTCAGCGTAGAGATGGTGCAGCCGGTCTGGTGACATGGGGTGTGGGCTTCAAAACCCAGACCTGCTGCTTAGCAGCTGTACTGCTTTGGTCAAGTTTGTTCGCTGCCTGAGCCTCAGTTTTTTCTCTTTAAGATGGGCCCTCTAATGTCTGCTTCATGGGCGCGTGGTGGAAATTGGAGGTGGAGTCCGTGCAGCGCCCAGTGCAGGGCTGGCTCATTGTGGACCTGCAGGTGCGGGCGGTTCTCACCCAGCGGGTCCTGCCGCTTCCAGGCGGTGATCCTGGTATTGCTGTGCGAAGCCCCGAGAGCCGGGCATCGCCTCATTTTTACACCCGTGATTTGGCCTCAGGCTCTGCGGCCTCAGGTCCCACTGGTTGTGGACAGCGGTGCATTAGTCTCCCCCCGGGGTGGGGGGGCACTTGCCCTGTACCCAGTGGCTGTGCCCTCACAGCTCCCTTGTTCGGCAGCCCTCCCGCATCTCCAGCCAGACTCCAGGAGCGCTCTACCCGGCACCCTCCAAAGGGTGGGAGCCTGTCTGCCTTGAAAGAAGGTAGCACCGGGCGTGAGGAACCTGTGGCCTGGACATGGGCAGCCACGTCGAAGTCCAGGTCCCCTGACATGGCCTGGCCAAGTGGCAGTGGCAAGAACAGGCACTACCCCGATGGTCACCTGGAGAGCACCCAGCCTGTGAGCCCGCGTGGTGCCGCCCGGGACTGGCCTCCTGGTCTCCGCTGTGTCCTGGGGAGGGCGCCTGCCTTTGCCGGGGGCGTGGAGGACCTGGACTTGTCCGAAATCCACATCCCAGAAGCTCAGGAAACGGGAACACCCTCGGGTTATCTTGCCTCCTCGAGTGCGTGTGTCCCCGGTGGTGCTGGTCCTTGTCACCAGGACTCCCTCGGCAACTCTGGCAATATGGACCTGAAGCCTCGCGAGGCCCTGCCTGTGGGCACTGCCGTGGGAGGCAGCCTCTCCTCCTCTGCGCCTGACATGCTCAACCCGAATGGGAACCTGGAGCAGCACGAAGACCTTCCTGGGGGCCGCAGCCAGGGCCCCGTTCCCAGGGAAGGCCTCCGCAGGAGGACGAGCTGGCCGTTGCCATCACCTTGCTCAGGTTTGAGGCGGGAAGGAACCAAGCTTCCAGTGGGGGAACAAGGCACAGAGCAGTGTGCGGATGGGGACCCTAAGGGCCACTCGGCCGGCGGCCTGGAGCGCCATGCAGGCCCCTCAGACTCTCCAGAGGACGTCCCCTCTGCGGGCAGCGCTGACCCCAGGGAGACCACAGCGTCCTGCGGAGAACTCGTGCGTGTGAACCTCTACACTCACAGCATCAAAGGGCTGGTGCTGTCCCTGCTGGCGGAGGAGCCGCTGCTGGGGGACCACGCCGCCGTGGAGGAGGTGGTAAGTGTGCGCAGACCCGCCCGCCCCTCTGGCGCCCACTGTGTCTACCAGAATGTGGACAGGCGGGGAGGCGCTCCCAGTGCCCTGCCTGGCTGCACGATTTTGTGCGAAAGTCCGCGTTTACCTGGGCAGGTGGTGTGTCCACTTCCCGCGGCGTGTGGGAGCGAGTGAGAGCAGGCCCCTCGCAGACGCATTCTTTCACACTTTCCCGCTGCTCCCAGTGTCTCAGCGGGGAAACCAGGTTCCGGTCTAGGTGCTGGCTATGTGGGTCCTCATCAGCCATGTGGGGGTGGCGACAGGTCCTGCCCTTCCAGCCCCAGTGTGATGCTGTGGGCAGTGACCACGTGCATGGCGTTGCTGTGCCATTGCCACCACTAGGGGCCTCAGTTCTGAGCCTGGGCAGCTCTAGGGTGCGAGGTGGCTGGTTGGAGTCTGTCCTCTGCGCAGTCACAGCCAGTGTCAGGAGATTGCACTTTACCCCAGTGGAGCTCCTTCCTAGAGGGCCAGGGACATCTGAAGTCCTGCCTGGCTCAGACGGCACCCCTTAACCCGCTCCAGCCCCTTCCGTGCTTCGGTGGTACCTACTCAGGGCCTACCCTAGAGATGCAGTTGCTATAGTAACAGCCTGGCTGTAGTTGCTGGGGCAGTGGTAGCAATGGGAATAGGAGGTTGAAATCACTGCAGGGCGAATGGTGTCCTGGGGCTTGCCTTGTTTTTGTTCTTAAATCTGTGTTATTCTGAGTGTGCCTCATTAGCATGCGGGGCTCATTTAGAGCAAGTCACCTTGGAGCTTGGAGGAGGAGGGACACAGCTGCCGTCCTCAGAGCCCCAGGCCAGAAACTGCGCCCCTCCAGACGGGCCCTGCTTATCTCTCCTCTGCCGCTTCCGTGCCCTCCTTCACCACAGCTCTGAGTGGCGTCTCCAGCAGGGACTGCGCTTCCTACGTCCATCTCCCTGCCCAGGCCTTGGTTTCCATGGTTGCTCTGCTTAGCCTTGAGCTGTGGACATGTTAGTACTTCAAGGTCCAGTGCCTGGGCTCTGTCAAGCAGATATGGTATCTCTCGTCTTCCCCCCCAAAAGAAAGAATAGTCCAGACTGCACTTGAAGGAAGAAGTAAATTAAGATGTGTTCTGGACACTCGGTGCATGCCAACTGTTCTACATCTGCTTTTTCAGCCAGGCTCGAGAACAGTCAGGGGGTGCGTTGTAACCCCCGTTTTATCAGCAAGAACACTGGGCCTCGTCCAGATGACAACCTACTGCGAGTGGCGGGCCCAGCCCCAGCCTCCCTGTCCAGTAGGAAGGCGACAAAAAGGGGGGCTGCCCTGCCTCCTGTGGCTCTTCGCATGTGGACCTGTCACTCGGTCCGCCTCAGCCCGTCCCTGTCGTCAGGGCAGCTGCCTCCATGGCTTTCACGTAACAGAGGGGTCAGCATGGGTGGGGCCCAGGAGAGGGTGCAGCGGGAGGGAAGGGGAAAAACTCGTCTTTCCTGAGAGCGTAGGGTGTAACTAACCGATCAGCTTGCTGGTCTGAGTGCGGTTGGAGGACCAGACACAGAGGTTGTCTGCTGTATAATTCTGGGAGAGGTCCTTCACTGTCTTTTTGTCCCCGACCTGATTTCTGTCCACCACTCCCTAGACAAGCAAGTGTCCCTGCAGAACGGTCAGCTGCATTTCGGAGGTGACAGTGAACACACCCCCTTGAAAGGGCTCCTTGGTTGTGTTACACACTGCCAAGGCACCCTGGTGTCATTCGCCTACTTGTGTTTATTGGGTCAACTGCCACTCTGTTTGCCCAGGGTGGGCGGCTGGGAGGTGGACACAGTGCATGAGCCCAGGAGCAGCCTGGAGAGATGGGGATTAGCTCAGAGGGAACAGACTAGACTCACACCAGAGGGCAGCAGAGAGCCACTGAGCGTTTCCTGCTCGGAGCCCAAGATACTTATTCTCACTGACCTTCAAATGCAGTGATCGCACCCCTTCTTGCTGGCTACGAGGGGCACTGAGCTGTCCGCGTACAGCAGATGAGGCTGGGGGTTAGTGCAGAGTGTGACCCTGAAATGTGAAAGTGCACCCCTACCCCGTGAAGCCCGTGCTTCTGAGTGGATGCGTGTGTCACGGCAGTCTCTTCACATCCTGGCACGCTTTGACGTTCGGGTCCCTTGCTTTGCTGTGGACCGGAGGCAGGAGGGCCGGGAGTTAGCCCCAGCCTTGCGTCACTGCGGGTCATTGTGAGGGTTGCGTGTGTAGTAGTGTATGTCGGGGTTGGCAGACCTTTAATGCTGAGGAACACAACGCGGAGGAGATGTTTTCCATGCTGAGCAACTGTTCAGCTCTGCTGTTACAGCAGAGAACTTCAGACTGTGTAAGCGGTGTGGCTGTGTTCCTTAACACTTCCTTTATGGACACAGAAATTGGAACTTCAGTAACTTGCACACATCACAATGGCATTCATTTGACTTTCCCCCAACCCTGTAAAACTATAAAAACTATTCTTAGCTCTCAGGCCATACAGAACCAGAGAACCGGCTGGGTTTGGCCCAGGCCCTGGTTTGCAGACCCCAGTATATGTGAAGGCACTTGGTTGCTAGTCAAAAATTTTCCTTGTCATCTGGTCTAGTATCTTGTGATTGTGCATTTATGGTTAAGTGGTTTTACCTTGAGTACCAGTCAGATAGAAGATTCCAGAAGCAGAGCTCAGTGCCTACAGGGAAAACTCAGGTTTTGGCAAGTCTCATTCTCTGCTCCCATCGTCCCTTCCTTTGGGCACCTGCTCAGGATGGCAGGGCTGAATGTGGCCAGGCTCCCCTTCCGGGAGGCTGTGCTTTGGCTTCCCAGTGGGTGCTGTGTGGGCGCGCATGTCTGTTAGACTCCGCTGGTGCGGCTGGAGCAGCGGTCTGAGCAGGACGCCTTTGACTTACTTGCCCCGACCATGTGCCGTTGGACTTCACCCTACCCCTCCAGGTGAGCCAGGTCGCTCCGAAGTGGGATGTCCTGCCACAGGGCGTGCTCGCCTGCGCACTCATTCGGCCGGCACTGATCGGCACAGCCTAGGAGACCGCACGCTGCTAGGCATCACACACATGCAGTGAGCGTGTCAAGTAAGACCTGTGTGTCTAATCGGTTGCCTTTGAATGTCATTTCAAAGACGTTCGGACAGCGAGACTGACTTGAGCCCACCACCAAAAGTAACCTTGCACCTTCAGGATGCTCGCCTCAGAGGCGTTCTGTTTGCATCTCTGCACTTCCCGATGCACACTGACTTTCACACAGGTCTGGAACAGCCGTTCACCCACGGACGGACAAGGCGTGTGTGCTTATTCATAATGATAATTTTCATTTTCTTTTTTTAAAGATTTTATGTATTTATTTTTAGAGAGATAGAGGAAAGGAAGGAGAAGGAGAGGGCAAGTGACTGCGTTTTCAAGATGAGGTCACTCCAAGAGAGGGCATGTGGTTGCCTCCTGCACGCCCCCTACTGGGGGACTGGCCTGCAGCCCAGGCATGTGTCCTGACTGGGAATGCAACCAGCGACCCTTTGCTTCACAGGCCAGTGCTCAATCCACTGAGCCACATCAGCCAGGGCTAATTTTCATTTTCTTGATTCTTTACAAAAATGCACTCTTTCAGAGTTGCACTTTAGAGTGTATCTATGCTGTTTTCCACTCAACAGCCCTGTAGTAGTCCCATTTTGCAGGTGAAAAAAAAAGGCATGGAAAATGCAGTCACTTGCCCCTGATCATCAGGCTCGGAAGAGGCTGAGCCAGGATGTCCTTCACCTGGGATCCATCTGCTGCTGGCCTTCTTGGGACAGTGGCCTTCTTGTGGCTGACACAGCCCCAGGGGAGCCCCAGGAGGCTCTGTTTTAGACTGAGTCCACCAGGACGTGACCGCTGTACTTGGAAAAGCCCAAAGTGGAGCCAAAGAATACCACACAGCTGTAGTAGAATATTTTAAGGGTGAAAAAAGTGAATCATTAGGGTGCAGTCATTATTTGTGGTTTGATCCCATCTTTATCTTACAAAGGAAGCATCACACCAAACGGTGTGTTCCACCGTGCTCAGCGGCACTTGTACACGCCTCTTCCCTGGGAGGGTTTTTAAAATGCAGGTGCCTACCTGGCTGGTGTAGCTCAGTGGATTGAGTGCGGGCCTGCGAACCAGACAATCGCGGTTCGATTCCCAGTCAGGGCACATACCTGGGTTGCGGACCAGTTCCCTGCAGGCCAGTTCCCAGGAGGGGACGCACGAAAGGCAACCATACATTGATGTTTCTCTCCCTCTCTCCTTCCCTTCCCCTCTAAAGATAAATAAATAAAATATTTAAAAAAAAAATGCAGGTGCCTGGGCCTCGCCTCCTGAGCAGCCTTTTCAGCCGCTTCCTCCTCTGAACCAGAGTGCAGGAAACCGTCTGACTGACACGCCGGGGCCCTTCCAAGCAGGGTGCCCAGCTGGCACTGCTCCGATGCGTCGCAGAGCGGCGAAGCCCTTGCAGACGGGGGCGGGCGGGCCCAAGCCTGGCCGAGCAGCCCCGGGCGTGCCGGGTGGGCCGGCCACGGTGCTGCGAACGTGCGGCCTCCCTGGGAAAGTCATCGCCGGAGGGAGAGCACAGGGCCTGAGGACAGTGGCTGTTTCTGGCTGGGGGCATTATGGGCCACTTCTCTTTGCTTTCTTCTTCCTTTTAAAATTAATTTCTCTGCCCACTTTCATTTTCTGATTCTTCTACAACTTAAAGAAGCATTAAAACAAGGGCAGAAATTAATATTTCTCTAAAAATGGGTGAAAACATCGGGCAGGGTCCTCGGTGCTGACTCAGGTAGCCCCGCAGATATGCTTGGGATGAGTCTTGGCTGGGTGTGGGCCCAAGGGGGGTGACTGCAGCCGTGACCCCGTTGGGCCCCTTTGCAGTACCACAGTAGCCTGGCCTCTCTGAACGGGCTGGAGGTCCACCTGAAGGAGACACTGCCCAGAGACGAGGCCACTGCCTCCAGCAGGACGTACAACTTCACGCACTACGACCGCATTCAGAACGTGCTGACCGGTAAGAGGCCAGGTGTGGGCCCCAGGCCCCTCCGGCGGGGGGAGGTGAGACGGGGGCCCAGCGCCCGGGGTGCCGGTGCTGTCCCGAGCCGGCTGCTGTGCAGCGGGTTAGGGTGCAGCTTCCTGACTCGCAGCCCAGCTCCCACTGTGTTTAAAATGTGCTTGGCAAACACTTCCTTGCTCATTTGTCTTTTTTTGGCTGTTTTTCCGGTGTTTTGAAAGAAGCACACACATGTTCAAATATCTGTGATAAGGTTCTGCCTCAACATTTTGATACTCATGCACAAGCCAGTGTTGCCTATTATTGGGGACAGAGTGTGCTCTGTTGCTTGGTGGCGGCTGTCGGGGCCCAGCACCCCCAGCAGGCCTCTCCCCCTCAGCACCCGCACTCCCAGCCATGAGCCATGCTTGGTCCCAGCTGACAGTGTGGGTTGGGGAGGTGCGTGGAGGGGCTCTGCCACTCACAGCCTCTGTGTCCTCTTCTGGAAGCAAACCTGCCACAGGTGGCCGCGCCCCAGGACCGCCGCTTCCTGCAGGCTGTCAGCCTGATGCATTCCGACTTTGCCCGGCTGCCCTCGCTGTACGAGATGACCGTCAGGTGAGCTTCCCCGAGAGTCACCCTCACAGTCCTGCACCAGTAGCCGCCTTCCCTGGGGTCCCAGGCGAGGCCTCCTGCATAACTAAATGACGAGCATTCCAGCTACTGTCTCGGAGGCCTTCTTGCATTCGCCCCCGGCTCCATTATCTGCTCTCATGCTTTTCCGGGCCCCACCCCGGGGCTCAGACCTGCTCTAGACTCTGGGCTACATCCGTGAGGGCACCCAAGGTCCACGCCCAGCTGGGAGCTTTCATTCGTTCCTGGTGAAGGAGCGTGTCTATCTCCTAGTCATGAGTGGTGCTGAGGTGATGTCATCTTCCGACCTAACAAGCCATCCAGCCTTGTCCAAATCCGTGCGGTACGGCATTCCCCGCCCCACCCACGACACCCCGAGGTTCCCTTGGTTGGTGGTTTGGTGTATGCGGCTCCAGCTGTTGTTGGTTTTAGTTTACATTTTTGGTGTGTAAAATGCAGATTATTTGTATTTAGTATTAGTATTTTATGTTTTAATTATTTTAAAAGTCTTCTGGAAAGCAGGGGCGCACTACACTCCGTTTCACGAGTTCCTTTCCCACTGCGTCGCACGTCTGGAAGGCCTCCGTGCCTGTAGGTGGAGATCTGGTTATCACTGTAACCCACGGTGTTTAACCAACCGCACTGCACTTTTCTCCCTGCGTGCTTCTCTGCACAGCCGGAGTGCAACGTAAGGCAGGTCAGGTCGGAGAGGGTGCTGTCGTGTCTGCATAGTCTGTGTGGGCCGGGGCCGGTTTGGGCAAGTGTGTGACCCTCATTTAGCAGATGAGGACTCCGAGGCACAAATAAGACAGTGACTTGCCCCAGGCTTGCGTCCTGGGTAAGTGGCAGAGCTGGGATCGAACCCTGGCCTCCTCGACTCTACATTATGTGCTCTTTCCACACGTACTTCCAGGCTCAGGGCAGCATGGTCGAGAGGGAGGTGCCCGGAACCCAGGCCCTTGTGCTGCCGAGGCTCTGGGGCTGCCGAGGGTTCTGGCTGCCCGGGCCTCAGCAGCCGCTGGTCCACTCTTCTCTTTCCACAATACGCGTGTCTTCCTGGCTTCAAGTCAGCACTGCCCCAGGCCGGCAACCTGGATGTGGTTTGTGCCTACGATCACTGTTTTGGGAACTGGCTTTGTATCTGTTCTGTGAGCAGTGGAAATAGATAAAATGTCAGCAACCGAGCCAGCATTTTACCTTTCTTGGTGCGGAGAGGGCTCTAGTGTTGGGAATTGTAGCTTATTTTAAGAATAGTAACAGAAACAGTGCCATTTCTTAAAAATCCATCATGTGCTAAACAACATATATGTATATGTATGTACATATATATTATATATATATACACACACACACACACACACATTCCTACTCATTTAATCTCTTTAAAAATCCCAGTGACGGGGTGTCCTGCTACCAGACCCACTGACCGACAGGAGCGCTGGGGCTGAGGGAGGCCGAGTCACAGCCGCGGGCACTCGGCCCAGCTGGGTGGTTAGCTCATTGCCACCAGGCCCCGGTGCCCTCTTTGTGGCCATAACGACGCACCCGGGACTTGTCCTGCTGGTCCAGTGAAGGGCACAAGTCACTCCATGGGCCTTCCGGCCCCTCGAGGTCCCCGAGGGAGAAGCAGGAGGAGGAGGGTAGGTCCTCTTCCCTTGCACAGAAGGAGACCTGGGTAAGGGGACCCTCAGTGGTCCCCGACTCCGTCCTCTTTCACTAGATGAGGGGAGACAGGGGCCAGCAGGGAAACAGTTTGAGACGGGGTCCGGGAGCCCGCTGGCCGCCTGGCCCCAGAGGCGGTCCTCTCGGGTGGGTCCTCCTTTGCACCGGACCCTCACCCCTCCCTCTACTTCCGTCTTAGGGTTTCCGGCCACTTTATTTCCCATCCCGGTCTTCTGGCTCCTGGTTCCCCTGGCTCCTCCTCCAGCTGCTCCTGTGTGCATAGAGGACAACCCCTCCCCCACACACACACAACCAGATGCTTGTCATCGTGGCCAGACAGCGCCATGGGCCTCTGAGCCTCAGGCTTCGCATCTGTCAAATGGGATGACGTCACTAGTGTGCGAGGAGTTGGGAGTGGGCTGGTGCACAGCTGCTACTGTATCTACGAGGCGCGCGCCCATCAGTTCATCAGTTGGTACAACTTCAGGCTGTGTCACCTGTGGCTGTGGCCACCGTGGACAGTCCCAGCATTTAGGGAGCTGAAAGGAATATGGTTGTTGGCACCAAACATGAAATTCAGGCAAAGAAGTGGTACCCAGAGCCGAGACAGCTGCGCCCGCAGCCTGTGGTGTGCAGAGCGGCACCTGAGCAACCTCCTGCAGTCTCGGTGTGGCCTCAGGTCTGCTCGGGCCACGTCAGACTGTCGCCTTCTCTCTCTATCCCGTAGAAATGCCTCCACGGCTGTGTACGCCTGTTGCAGCCCCGCCCAGGAAACCTATTTCCAGCAGCTGACATCGGCTGTGCGGAGCTCTGGCTTCCCAAGTCCCCAGGACGGCGCCTTCAGCCTCTCCAGCAAAGCCAAGCAGAAACTGCTGAAGCACGGGGTGAACTTGCTTTGAACTTGGCCACAGTGGGAGGGTCATCACCCTGGGAGGTGACTGTCAAATGGAATACCAACAAAGCTTCCTTTGCAAACAGAAAAAACTTCTATTTTTCTGGAATATTCCCTTTTTTAGGAACTTAGGATGCTTGAGTGTTTGGTACACCATTTAGAGATTGGAGTGGGACAGGGTAGTCCTTCAGGATCTGTGGCTCAGGATAAAGACCTTCACTACCCCTGGAGGTGGGGCCTGGAGAGGCGCTGTGGCTCCTTGCACCAAAGAGGGACAGGCCAGTTAGATCCCTGTCACCCTGAGCCTGAGGCACCTGACATCTCCTGAGCGTGTCTCCACAGAAGTTCAGGTTGGCATTTTTCCTAGAACCCAGCCACCCCTGGTCTGATGTGTTCCAGCCGTGTCTGCGGGGGGCGTGGTGAGGGGTGGCCTCACAGAGGAGCCAGGTTTGGTAGCAGGCAGCCCGGATGCCCATTGCTTGGGTAGGGGGCCGTCCTCCCAGGACGAGAAGGTCCTCCCCGGAGTCTGGGCCAGTTGGGTGGAGCTGCCTGGTCTGAATTCTGGTTCCACGCTGGGAGCCTATTCCGTGGAGTACCCATCATGGGGCAGGTCTCGACAATGTGGAAGGGTGTTTGGGGGTTAATGGTAACCAAAAGCCCAGGGTGCAGAGACTGGAGAACCGGGTGAGGCCAGGCCAGGCTGCACGTATTTGGGCCAGGCGGCTGCTTCCCCCTGGGTGAGGGTCCCCAGTGGAAGTTGGGGTGAAAGCAGAACTGCGCTCTCTAGTGGCCACTGTGTGTGCCGTGTCCAAGAGAACCACCATGGTCTGTGTTTCTGGGCGGTGTGGTCACCTGGGTTCTGGTATGTCATAGTCAGACGTGTTATGAGAACACGGGGGGACCCCAGGGTGAGCACACCGGCTGGCTGAAGGGTCCGCACGTTTTCTCCATAAAGTAAAAGACACATTTTCCTTTCCACCAGTAACTTTACTGATTTGGATACTTTGAGTGTAGGCTCTCTCCCTCATGGGATAACGCTGATTGTTCTCAATTAATGTCTCAATTGATCGCTGTCAACTCCAACTGGTCCACCGGACAGTGGAGCATCGTCCGGACAGAAATCTCCAGCATGAAACGTCATAAACCACTTCTGACACCTTCGATCAGTCACAGCACCTTCTCCATACATGGCACAAATCTTTTTTTGCATTTCGGTTGTGTTTTTACCTTTTTTGAAATAATAAAGTGTAATATGCTGAAAATATGTCCTTCCACCTTCAATATTAAAATGGCTACACAAAAATTCACCAATTTGTTTTTTTTAATGCACCCTGATGTGACAGCTGTCACAACACAACCCTACAAAACTGTTTCCAATGAACTTAAAGACAAGCACCCTACTAGAGCCATCTCGCAGGAAAACACCAGGTGAACTTTTTTTGGCAAACCCAATATTTAGCAGAGTCGTAACTGGATGTTTACGAGGAGATTCCATGTGAAGACTATGATGTTAATCATTCCACGTGAGTGAGCAAAGGCCTAATGTGCATGACATGGTGTCTTTTACTTCAACTTTCCAAGGGCTAAAATAAAATACTCAACGTGCCATTGAGTTCTGAGTAATTAAATGCACAGTAACATTTCCAGTGATTTTACAGACATGCGAGTGTGTGCATGTACCTTGTGTGTACTCTTCCTTGCCTGATTAGCGTGGCCAGGCGAAGAAAGTGCACCTCAGAACGGCCTCTCTGCAAGGGCGACGGGCCACAGCCAGCTGCTCCAAGCATCCCCGGCTGACCCTTGTCACCACCCTTTCACCCACCTGCTTCTCACTGGCCGGCCTGAGAGGGCGCTCTTCCACGGTGGGGGGGCATTGTATCTCTAGCGAGGATGAATGCACATTTTCTTTTTTCTTGGCTAAATTCTCCAAGAAGAAAATCCATGACAAGCCTCCGGGCCGACCACTCGAAGATCCTTCACCATTCACACGTAAGACGTTCTTTTTCCTCTTCCCTCAGGGTATTTTTAAGCAGCCAAACTTTCCCCTTTGTGCCCTGGTGCTCCAGAACGGCGACGCCCCCAGAGTCTGGAGTGCGGTGGAATTACAAGCTGTTTTGTGTTGAAACAGGCACAGAGCTGGGGCCTGGAACCCGATTTCATCCTCCCCCTGGGAGCTCGGCTTACTGCGTTCAAGGACTCTTCACATGAGATCTGTTTCACGAGAAAGTCAAAGTCGCTGGGCTCTCACTGATCTTAAGCATACCGGTTTTGCATTTGGAAACCTCTTCCCGTCTCCTACTGAGCTAGGAGGAGTTCACCTGGCTGCTGCTGAGCTACAGTAGATGCTTTTCATCTAAAATGCTTCTGTTTCCCAGCATCGGCGCTCCAGGCAGCCAGGTGCTTCCCTTGATTGAGCCTTAATAGCGAAATGCCAGACACGTGGTTAGCGCAGCAGAAATAAGATCCATGTGTGGTCACTTTAAAATAGGTTCACAAATTGCTGCAATTTAGGAACCCAATTCCTGTCCCTTGAGCGTGGGTTGCATTTAGTGACTCATTTTCAGTGAACAGAATTGGGGGGTGGGCAGGGAACGCATTGGGACTCCAAGGGCAGACTAAAACAGGCCACAGTGTCCATCCCTCTCGGCTCACTTGTTGTTGGGGGCAGCTGGCATTCGAGCAGCGGAGCAGCTCGGAGGAGAAGCCCTCAGGGGCGAGGTCCCTGCAGAGAGCTGTGCAGGTGAACCTCGTTGGAAGCAGGTCCCGCAGGGTCTGCCGACACCTGATGGCGCCTCCATTGGGAACCAGAGCCGGAACCCGTGCAAGAACCAGAACCGGAACCGGAACCAGCGCCAGAACCAGCAAGCTAAGCCACTTCCAGACGTGTTTCCAGCCTTTCTTCTGGGGTAATCGGTTACACAGCAACAGGCCACACAGTCGCGTGCCCGTGTCGCGTCCTCAAACTAGGTCCTTATGGCCTTGGTGCGTGGGCTCAGCCGAATGCAAGACAGCGCATCAGTCTCTGGGCCCAGCTGCCACCTTCCCCACCTCGGAGAACTGGGCTGGTCAACCAAGGAGAAAAGGGTGAGTGCCCCTCACCTTCCTTCCTACCGGTTCCAGAGCCTGGCATTTAAAGACCAACAGGGTCCCCGCGTCCTTTGGGCCTGGCCCTGTGCCCCCTTCGTTCTCCAGATTCCACGTGCCACCAAGCAGGGCACCCTCACCTACACAGCCGTGTGCATTTCACTGTTCTGCTGTTCCGGAAGCCTCTGGAAGCCTCTGGAACCTCTCGCCAGGACCGCAGCTCAGCCTTCCAGGCTCAGCTGTGGCTGTTTGCTCAGGCACTTTGCCGTCTGGCTCCAACCATTGTGCCCCAGAATAAGACCAAAGAAGACAGCTTTATAAAGGCTCCGTGTCTGCTACCTGTGGACCGTAAGGACTCCGTTCCCTGTGGAGTGACTAACAGTGGCAAATAGACTCCTGCTGGGAGAAGACCTCTGGTGCCTAGGGGGACATTTGAGCCCCATGGACCTGTGCTGCCCCTGCAGGGGGGCATCTAGGCTCATCTGCTCCTGTTGCCTTGGCAGCAGTAGCTAGTGAAGACTGGGTCTTGGCAGAAACCACCCTTTCCGGTGCCCCTCCTGAGTGTTTAACCCCCTCAGTGGTCCTTTCCAGTATGGCTGAGTGGTTTTGATGCCCTCTAGTCACCGCGCCCCTGACCCCAGGCTGCACTGAGCAGCAATGCACCCTCCTGTGTGTGCCACGCTGCCTTGTAGGCTGAACGGTGGCCTCCGAGAGCATCAAGTCCTGATCCCTGGAACCTGTTGACCTCACCTGCTGCCGGTTTTGCTGGGGGGTTGTGTTAAGGATCTCAAGATGCAGAGCTTATCCCGGATTATCCAAGCAGGCCCTAATTGCCATCTCAGCGTGCTCACGAGGTGCGGGCGGGCCTCAGCCACGGAGGAGGCAATGTGAAGTCGGAGGCAGGATTGCAGTGATGTGCGTCAGGGACCACCTGGGGCCACCGGGCCACCCGATGATGCCCGAAGAGGCAAGGGACGGCTTCTGCCCGAGTCACTGTTGACACGTTGATGTAAGTCCCATGAAGCTGAATTTGGACTTCTGATCTCCAGAAGTATGAGAATAAAGTTCTGTTGTTTGGAGCTGCCACACTTGTTACAGCAGCCACGGGGAACTAACATGCCCACCCTGAAAACATCACAGGTTTGTCCTTCGGGCAATCCTGAGCCCTTCCAACAGTGCAGCGCCTCAGAGTGCGCTGGGCAGTGAGGAGCGACGGGGCCCCACCACAGTGTGCCAGGTTGCCGAGATGCTGGGCAAAGGAGAGCCTTGAAGTACGGGAGGGACTCGACCTGGTTCTCAGTCGGAAGCCCTAAGCAGGTAAGCGTGGGAGCCATTTTTAGGGGACTGTGGTTGTCCAGGTTGGTGGCATGGAGCAGGCCGGGGGCAGGACAGTGGAGAGAGATGGGCAGACTTGATGATTAACTTAGAAGAAGCACCTGCACTGGGCCATGGATTGATTGGGCAGGTAGAGGAGGCAGGTAGAGGGAATTGCTGACTTTACGGTGGGCACTGCGTCCGCAGATGGGGGAGCAACCAGGGAAACCCCTGGCCTCACAAAGCTCCTGGCCTGGCAGGAGTGTGCAGGGTGACAAAGGGCGATACTCTAGGACCGTGCACAACGAGAGCCTATGCTCGCCCCCTCCAACCACACACACACCCAGCCCACACACCCACCCAGCCCCCAAACACCCAGCCCCACACACACACCCAGCCCCCCACACCCAGCCCCACACACACACACTCAGCCCCCCTACACCCAGCCCCACACACACACCCAGGCCCAGCACACACACCCAGACCAAGCACACACACCCAGCCGCCCGACACCCAGTCCCACACACACACCCAGCCCCCCATACACTGCCCCCCCACACCCACCCTCCCCTCACCCAGCCCCCCACAACCAGCCCCACACACACCCAGCCGCCCACACCCAGCCCCCCACACCCAGCCTCACCTCACCTAGCCACTCACACACACCCAGCCTCACACACACCCAGCCCCATACACACACCAGTCCTCCACACACACACCCAACCTCCCACACCCAGCCCCACACACACACCCAGCTCCCCCCACACCCAGCCCCACACACACACCCAGCCGCCCACACCCAGCCCCCCACACCCAGCCTCACCTCACCTAGCCACCCACACACACCCAGCCTCACACACACCCAGCCCCATACACACACCAGTCCTCCACACACACACCCAACCTCCCACACCCAGCCCCACACACACACCCAGCTCCCCCACACCCAGCCCCACACACACACCCAGCCCCCCACACCCAGTCCCACACACACACCCAGCCTCACACACACACTCAGCCCCACACACACACCCAGGCCCCCCACACCCAGTCCCACACACACACCCAGCCTCACACACACACTCAGCCCCACACACACACCCAGCCCCACACACCCAGCCCCACACACACATCCAGACCCCCACACCCAGTCCCACACACACACCCAGCCCCACATACACACACAGCCCCACACACACAGAGGCCCCCACACCCAGCCCCCCACACACACACCCAGCCCCCCTACACCTGTCCCACACACACACACACTCAGCCCCACACATCCAGCCCCACACACACATCCAGCCCCACACACACACCCAGCCCCACATACAAACCCAGCCACCCACATCCAGCCCCACACACACACCCAGCTGCCCACACGCAGCCCGCCCACGCACACAGCCCCTCCACACCCAGTTCCACACACACACCCAGCCCCATTCACTCAGTCCCCCCACACCCAGCCGCACACACTCACCCAGCCACCGCACACCCAGCCCCACACACACACTCAGCCGCCCCACACCCAGTCCCACACACACCCAGCTCCCCCACAACCAGCCCCACACACACACCCAGCCCCCCACACCCAGCCCCCCACACACACCCAGTACCACAAACACACCCAGCCCGCCACACACACCCAACCTCTCACACCCAGCCCCCCACACACACACCCATCTCCCCAGACACACACACATCCCCAGACACACATCCAGCTCCCCACACCCAGTCCCACACACACACCCAGCCCCCACACACACCCAGTCCCACACACACACCCAGCCGCCCCATACCAGCCCACACACACGCAGCGCCTCACACACACACCCAGCCCCCCACACACACCCAGACCCCACACCCAGCTCCCCACACACACACCCAGCTCCCCAGATACACACTCAGC